AAGGAATAATCCTCAGACAAAAACAGCAAATGTTCAGCACAGCCCTCACGGGTGCTTCATGGGTATTAGTCATAACAGTAATGCTAGGGAAGGAAAGATATTGGGTTAAGCAAAACTAGGCACTGTATAAAGCCTGGGACTCATAAGGACTCCTAATTCATACCAGACACATGTTCTAGGATGGATGTGAACTCACAGAAGATTCAATCCCATTTGCCCAATCTTTTAAGTCATGTAATACATGAAATTTCTCATTACATGGCTAGTTTATTCACTTTAATAACCACTTGACTGCCCCTGAAGTGTTTGATCAAAAAGTAAGGTGTTTGGACATTTGAGTAATTGAATTATCTAGTATAGGATTAAAAATAATACAATACTCTGAGCTGGCTGTTTTCCATTTTGAAAATGAGTTAGCTATAATAAACAGCTACAGTGAGAACCAGAACCGACGTGGGACAATTATGTTAATAGGTCAATCATGCTTCCATTTTAAGAAAACCTACCTCTTAAAATGTCAATCAGAATGTCATCCCTAGGATATCAGAATGTTTTGCCAAAGAGCGTTGAAATATCACTGTCCACCACTCTATTAAATGATGGGTTCTTCGTTTAAAACAAAATCTTGCCCTCACAAATACAAGAGGGCAGAATAAGAAGACAATGGAGTCCAAATGAGTGGACACAGTGATGCTCACAGAACAAGCACTATCATTGTGGTCCACTGAAGAGTATTTTCTCAGTGCTAGGTCCATGGCAGTGGTAGTCACATAAGGATAGATTTGCCTCTGAGGGCATATTTGGCAATATACAGAGACCGCTTTGAGGGTCAGAACTGGAAAATTGGTGCTACTGGCATCTAGCAGGTGAGGCCAGGGATGCTGCTAAACATTCTACAATGCCCGTGACAGCCTCCACAATGAAGAAAGAACTGACCCAAAATGTCAATAGTGCTGAAATTAAGAAACTCTGGTCTCTAGCAAGGGGCAGGCAAAGGCAATATTTAAGACACAACTCCTGCCCCTGATAAAGGCATATCTAATTAGAGGGTAAGATAATGAGCTCACTGTATAATATGTAAGTGCTAATAACAAGTCCTTCGCCAAGTGTGCCTTGAATGGCATCATGTGCTCTAGAAGGAAAAGCTACTGCTGGGTTCTCCATCAGAGCACCCTTCATGTTAGTAGCAAGGTGAATGTAAAGATTTGAAAGACTTGGACAAGCAACCAGAAAAGAATTTTTCGTGTAGAAGGAGGCAGAAATCCAGGGAGGAGGAAGAGCAGTGTCTTTTCTTTGAGTAACCAGTCTGGCTACAGCAGGTGTGTGTGGGGAGCAAGTCTTAAGAAAAACATGCTTTCACCTGTCACTGGGATAATGTGGCCAGTGGAGTCATGGCTTTGCCTAGGGTTAGCTGGGCTGACACTGGTGTGCAAGCTGTAAAATTAGGATGTCCCTTACCTAACAGTTATTGCTGCAAAAAGCAGGTACTGCTACATAGCAGAGTTCAAAGGGCGACAGCTCCTAGAACAAATATTAAGAGAGAGGTTGAGATATATTCCTAGGAGTATATCCCAAGAAATCAGAAACACCAATCAGAAAGGACATATGCACCCCTATGTTCATAGCAACACAATTTACAATAGCTAAGATTTGGAAACAGCCTAAGTGCCCACCAGCAGGTGAGTGGATTAAAAAACTGTGGTACATCTACACAATGGAATACTACGCTGCTTAAAAAAAAATAAAAAAGAAGGAATTCTTACCATTTGCAGCAGCAAGGATGGGACTGGAAAACATTATGCTAAGTGAAATAAGCCAGTGAGTAAAAGAAAAATACCACATGATCTCACTTATTTATGGATAATAAAGAACATTATAACCTGATGAACAAAAAGATACAGAGGCAGAGAAGCATCAAACAGACTGCCAAATTACAGCAGGAAGGTTGGGGGTAGGGTTGGGGTGGGGAGGTAAGAGATCAACTGAAGGACTTGTATGCATGCATATAAGCATAACCAATGGAAGCAAGACACTGGGGGGGGGGGGCGGGTGAGGGCATGTATGGGAGTGGGGTGTGGGGGGGGCAATCGGGGGATATGGACACATATGTAATACCTTAATCAATAAAAAATTGAAAAAAATAAATTAAAAAATTAAAAACTGATAGCTAAAAAAATAAAAGAATTTAAAAAATAAAAAACTGGTACATTTACACAATGGACTACAATGCTGCTGTAAAAAAGAAAGAACTCTTACCATTCACAGCATGAATCTCTTGAAAACTAGGCAGATACGTCAACCTTCAGCTTTCTTTCCTATAGGCACAACTAGATAGAGCTGAGCAACTCTTGCTGCCTTTAACTGACTGCAGTTCACTACCCACTTGGATTTGTCTCATTTGTTTTATCCACCTGGGCCCTCTAGGTATTTGAGCTTGCAATTCCTGGTCTACTGGTACTATATCTGCTTTAATGACAATAACAATAAAAGCAGTAACAAAAAATAATAGCACACTGAGCACTTACTTCCAGGCCATTCTAAGTAAGCCACAACTAACTCACTATTTGAGGAAGTTACTACTGTTATACCATTTTACATATTAAAGGACCTGCCCAAAAGTCAATAGCCAGCAAGTGGGATAGGTAAGATAACCCATACATAAATGTGCAGTTAGCCAAAAATATCCCAAATTAAACAGTAAGACTCTATATGAACCTCTTTTTCTAAAAATAAGCCCCTCCACTTCAGCCACGAAGACTTGTGCTTTTCTGCAGTGGATTCACACACACACACCCCTGTGCGACTCTGTGTACCTATGCGAAACTAAGGCAACTCGAGTTTCCTCTCTCCACAAGGCATGTGGTAGTGGTAGACTAGTCCTTACCTTTATCTGCAGAAAACATAAAATGCACAGAAAGGACTAATTGCAAGAAATGTATGTTCTGACTGGAGAGAGGCAAGGCATTCAAAGGTATTTAAGATTTAAAAAGAAACAAGTGGATGGGTATAAACGGAAGTTGTAGAGCATATCCAAGGCTGAGGGGACGCAAGGAGCAGGACAAGGAGAGCCAGGAAAACATTGGCAGTGTTGCAGGAAGGGTTTGGAGGTGTGCTAAGATGTGTCTGTTAAGCAAACAGAGGTTTCCCAGAGGTCACCCTGGGCTCTCTGGGCTATCTTCTAAATCATCACTGGCGTGAAAGTTGACTTGGCTGAAGAAAGATTCAGTGGAATAAACAGAATGAGAGAATTTGAAAGATCAGAGAGTTATCTGACTACCTTGGAAAAAGCGAGGATTAAGGGGGAAGAAGCATGTGGGTCCTAAAGATGTTGATGCATGAAAGCATGAAAGTACGAGGCAATCATGAAATAGGAAAAAAAATACTTGAGTCAAGATGGAAATGGCACAAAGTATTGAAGTCAAGAATGTGGCACTTACAGGCGAGATTTCAGAGGTGGTAGGGACGGTGAAGTCACCGTAAAGGGGAGGACCATGGGAGCAGGTGGCTAGGGATATAGTAGACAGAGAAACTTTAAAGGCAAGGAAGTCCAGAAACTGAAAAATGATGAGGAATGTATCCAAAATATTTAGAACTCAGCTAATCTTTTAGAAATGCCAATCCTAAAAAGTAAAACTTGGGCCCTGACCGGTTTGGCTCAGTGGATAGAGCATCGGCCTGCGGACTGAAGGGTCCCAGGTTCAATTCCGGTCAAGGGCATGTACCTTGGTTGCGGGCACATCCCCAGTAGGAGGTGTGCAGGAGGCAGCTGAATCTATGTTTCTCTCTCATCGATGTTTCTAACTCTCTATCCCTCTCCCTTCCTCTCTGTAAAAAATCAATAAAAATATATTAAAAAAAAAAAAAGTAAAACTTGGAAATATAGGCAACATATTTGTTGTCTGCATATTAGAAGGATTCAGGTGAAATTCTGCCTGACTGGCAGGCAGTGCACACGAACACATCGTATTAAATGCTGCAGAAACATGGCACAAAGGCAGATGGCAGTTCTGCACCCTACCTTCACCATGCCCATAGGAGTTACTTCTGCTTGAAGGTAGTTAGGTATCTTGTTAACTACTTTTGTTAAAAGTAAATAAAACAGTGAGGAGCATAAAGATCCAAATAAGTAGAATAGGGGGGCAAAAGGATTGGAGGAGGAGAGGATATTTCTTTATTTACATGGACTTTATTTTTACTTATACTCAAGCTTTTAAACAACAAAAATAGAAAACATTTTGAATCAGAGTATGCCTGAAAGTTAAACATTAAGATGGTGGCCCCACTATTTTTGAGCCCAGACGTGGGTTAAAATGGATTTTATGAACTTTTAAAGGGAACAGTCACAAGTAATCTACTTAGTAAGTAGGGTTAAATGTCTGTCAACAAATCTAAAATTTCAGAGGCAATATTTTATTTCAAAAGTAATAAATAATATGGTGACATAATAAATGGTGAATAACGATGGAAACTCTTAAAATTCTTATAAAAACTTGTAATTATTTCACAATTAGGCTGTTCACATTTCTTATGACTTTATGTTTTCCAATGACATATTAATGCAGATTAAAAATTAAAAACCTTAATTCACCAACAGTGACATAACTTCAAGGCTGAGAAAAAGCACTAGTCACAAAGAATTTCAAGTAAACATTAATCTAGCAGTCCAAAAAGAGCTGTTATCAATGTGAGAATTCCTAATTATAAATAATATAGCTGTATATTTGTCTAAAGACCAATACAGACCTAACTTCAGCAAAACACTTGTGAAAAAAATTATATATACCTCTTTTGTTCAAGACACAATATAAAACTTGAAATAATTCCTCTATTTAATAAAAAAAGGAGACTCCTCAAGAAGGTTCATAGCATCTCATTAACAATGCAAAAATGTTAAACTAAAATGGCTTATTTATTTTGGTCAGTAAAAATTATAACAGTTCTATGACAACTGGAAACATTATCAGAAAAAAATCTGTCAATGAAAAAAATCACTGATTCAGTAAGTATTTAATCATTTTATTAACAAAATATATGCCAGAAATACATTCCTCTCTGGTGAAACTTTTCAAATAATTTTATGTGGAGAGCCTTGAGATGTATCAATTATATAAACCATATTAAAATGAAAACATTTTTAAAATGTACAATACAAACCAGTACTTTGTACAATTCTCTATAAAGTTCAATAATCAATGTAAAAAATAATTTGTTTCAACCGAATATAAGGCATGTTCAGTTTCTGTAATTTTGTAGAATTACTTTTTTTGCTTTGTCGGAGACTTTTCTCTCCGCCGGTCCTGATTTTTCTTTGATTCTCTGGATTGTTCCGAGCGTCTGCTAGATTTTTCCCACCGCCTCTCAGCACCATTCTGATACCTATCTTCATCGCTTCTAGAGTCTGAATGTTTTCTATTCTTTTCTCTTGACTTTGATCTGTCTTTTCTTCTAAATTTTTCACTGTCCTTATTTCGGTATCTATGCTCATTTTCAGAAAAAGAATTTCTTCTCTCTCCTCTCCTCTTTTTCAGATCACCATACTCATTTTCCAAATCTAGATGCATTTCTTGGTCTCTATCATTCATGACTCTACTGTAACTATTTCGTTCAGAAGGAACACCTCTGTCTGAAGTGTATTTTGTTACAGGGTCTCTCCAATTTGGATCCCTTGCATTTTTATCTCTGAGTTTTTCTGATCTCCTTTCTCTTTCAGTCCTTGTTTCTTGGTGCCTTTGCTCTGATCTTCTTTCTTCTTGCTTCCTATCACTTATTCGTTGTTTCCTGATCAGTTTATCTGCTTCTTTGCTTCTGGTGTTCCCTTGTCCCTTCTTTCTTATAGCTTTAGCTGCACATGTAAAATGAAATATAGTTAGTTTTAACTTTAATCTTAATTTCATGATTTAACAATCACATTCATTAATATAATGTAGGTTTACTAATTCAGATAAACGGGATTCAAAGCTAAATTTATTGAATGAAAAGCCTAATGACAGAACATTTCACAAAATATTTGAGAGTATACGATATGTCAGCATTAGTTACCGAAGTAATGTTTTGATGGTTAGAATCAAAATAGTGAACAGGAACTTTAATTACAGCAAATATAGTAAAATCTTTTATGAAGTAACTAAAATAAAACATTTCCACTTACAAATTTTATTCAAAAACAGAAATTCCAGTCCATGTGAATTATTGATACAAAATATTATGTCAGATTTGGTACATAATCAAAATACTAATGATTGATCACACACACCAGCAACAATCACTTCCTAAGTGAGAGGAAGTGGGATGACTGGGTTGGCCTAACAGCATAAACATATGTATTTCAAATAAACTTCTTCCTATAAAAACAAGTTTTGCTCTCCAGTGCATTAGAGAAGCACCAGCTGTACCAGTAGGAGAAGCCAGGGTAAAATATACAATCACAGGCTTCATATGAGCCACTATGGCTTGATTTCGAAAAAAGCCTTGAACATCTTATTTTACTGATATCATCACAAATATAAATGTTAAATAATTACAATAAAATAACTTACCATTTTAAGCTATAAAACAAATTTAACTGCTTTATCTGTGTTACTTAGTTTGGGTACATAAATCAAAGATGCTGAGATGACCAAAATTTCTGTTGCATTCATATGTGTATAGAAAGAAGAAAACAGGGTGGAAGATCACCTACCCTTATCCTACTCCACCTAAATCTCTGTACCAACCTGTATTTCCTCGGCCAAATGCCTACCCTTGACAGTCAGTCGGTTTGCCACTAAGGATTTATTTCTCTGGTTCCTATCAAACAACTCAGCTGAGCTGCAGCTACCCAAGCAGAAACCATCTGGCTCTGTGCGAAATCATGTCCCTCTGACCCTACTCCACACTGCTCTCACTGCTTTGTTGACATTAAAACCTGTGCCATATAATAATGTGCAATTTCTTCTCTCTTTGGTGTCTGCTTTACAATTTTCCAATTTGGGGGCAGTTCATATTGCTTTTAGGCTATATAATATTTTATTAATAAAACTGGAAGCTCTCTACTGAAATTGTAGGATGAGGCAAATTAATTTTGAATCAGCAAGCTTCCTTATTGCAGAAATCCATGCTGTGTTATCATCTGTTCTCAAAACAGATATCATGAAATAACAAATTCTTTAGAATTAAAAGAGGTGAATGTTAAATGAACAATGTTAGCATATTTCAATTCAAGAAGACTTCCCGTGAGCAAATGGAATCTTGCTCTAATAATATAAAACACTGAGAGTCCCACAGTTCTTGCTGCCATATAATATGTAAAATACTTTGAAGTGTAATAAGCCAGGGAATGAGAATAAAAGACCAAGCTTCCAACCTTCTAAGGCTATAGGGAAAAGTGCTCCCTCTCTGAAACAGAGATGAAAATACTATATGAGAGAAGACAGCAGAGCTGACCCTGCAGAAAACAACACAGAACTTTTCAGAAAATAGCACATTTGAAAAAATCCTTTACTATAGCACTTCCAGTTCCAAGTAGAATGAAGAAGGCTGTAGACCAGTTGAAGAACAACTAGAAATGCTGGATATAAATTTAAAATCTCTGCTTAAAGGAGGTAAAGATCTTGAACTTGAGAGGCTATAAAGGAAGGCAGTGCCCTTAAGAAAAGGGATAGGGGTATGTCCAAGGAACACAGGAGTCAACTTGAAGGAACTCCTAATTGCCAAGGCTGAAATGATTTTAACAGCAAATAAAATACAGTATTGGATTTTAACCCACAGAAAACAATAAATATCCATGAGTCCACAGTGATAAAATATAAAGTAAAATTATTAAGTAAATGGGGGAAAGGGACAACTCTTTCTTACAGAAGAAATTCAACTATTAAATGTAGAAAAGAGACAAGTAGAAAAATCATCATTTGGCAAACACCAAGTTCTTTACTTAAAAGCAGTATTAAGTGTTCCAGACAAGATCCAAAGATGGATACTAAAAATGGAGAGTGAAAGTTGGAGATTTGCATAGCATCAAATTATCTCCCTGCAAGATCTAATTTATAGAGAAAAATCTTTCCATGAAGAAATTCAACAGGCATCACCTTAACCAAGTCATTAAAGTCAATGTCACCAATAAGATACACCAATATTATAAATTCCTCAATGAGATGCACTAAGAGCACATAATTTCTATGGTATTCTAGCCAAAAATGCACATTCTCTTTTTATAGCTGTACACTTATGAGATACACACTAAATGTGTGATACATATCAATAACTACCATAAGTGTCACTATTAAAAATATTAAAATTTCTTAAAACAAACATCAGGAAGGCTCCTGTCAACTAGATTAGACATTATGAATGGTATTTCAGTCACCACTCAAATAAATATTTACCAATGAAACATCTTCATTTCTATGAAAAGGCTTCCAAAGGTAATCTTAGCATTGTAAATGTTAAAATTTACTATAGACTACAACAATGGTTGATGATCATTTATATTAACTGTGGCTTTTAAACAACTGAACTCTAAAATAAATATAAAATGCAATTATTTACTTCTCTCATTGTAAACATCACCAGCAATATACTTGTTAGAAAAGAGCACGATGGGTGATGGGTTTCAATACCTGAGGCAGAGCTCTGACTGCTGGCGGATGAGGAGTCGCTGTCTTCGCTGGAAGACTCTGAGCTGCTGTCACTGCTGTCCGAACCAGAAGCAGAGGAGTCGGACTCTGCCGAGGAGGATGCGGAAGAGGAAGAGGAGGGGGAGGAATTATTTGGCTCGATTTCTGGCTTCTGTGCCACAACGACCTTTGGTGTATTTTTGAGATGCTCACGCAATTCATCCCTAATTAAAAATATAATGTTAGATTTTGCTTAGAAGGAAATTATGAGATAATTTTGTAATTGAAAATAAAATTCTAAAAATAATCCTTACGTTAAACCTCCAAGACCTATAGAAGTAAAAAAGTTGATGGCAAAACGAGTGTTTCTGGGATTATCTCGGGGTAATAACCCTTCAAAGAATGGCTGTAGGGTTCTAAAAAAGAAAAGAAAAGAAAATGAACAAAAGAGAACAGATTGCTGAAAGATAAAGTTCTTTACTTAAAAGCAAAATTCCCATACAGTCACTTTTCAGAGTTTCTACATATTAAATTAGTAAATAAAATACAACCAAGTAAATGATTTATATAATTTATTAGGTTAGGCTACATGGTATCTAATGAAATGAGTAAGGACACTCATTAATTTACTAAACTTGATTTCTATAATTATACAACAAAGGTTTAAAAAAACTTTTTCATATTTATACCAACACAGAGTAGATATATGTATGTAACATACAAACATATATCTATGTTCATATGTACATGTATATATGTGAATGTATATACAGAACAGTAAAAAAATTCTCCATATATATATATATATATATATATATATACACACACACACACACACACACACACACACACACACAGCACTGGGCAAGGCACTGGGGGAAGAGAAAAAGTATCAACAAAAGGGAGAAATCATGTTTATTCAATGACCTATTGATAACATATCCTTATTATTTCTAGGAAGGGGCACGAACAAAAAATATTAACAATATGTGGTTTTGAGTACCATAGTGAATGACTAACCAGCAGGGCAGGAAAAAGTGTTTCATAGAAAAAGGTGACAAATAAGAAGGAGAGTTTGCTGGACAGAACAAGGGAGGAATTCCCAGCTCTGGAAATAGAGGTAACGAGGCGCGAATGAGCCAGACCTGCTTTACTCTCTGGGCAATGTTGGTGTGGCTGGAGCACAGTGCACTGCAATGGGCTTCACTAGGTGAGCCTGGGAAAGGAGGCAGGGACCAAGAAATGAGTATACAAAGCCCAGGAAAATGGATGGAATAACACAGAGAGCATGCAGAACCAGGACAGACCTATGGTGTACACTGGAGAGGCAGGCTGAGGATAAGAGAGACTGAGAGGAGTAAGGTTGAATGGGAAGAAAATGAGGGGCCACAGTGAGCACGTGGTCAACTCTGTAAGTGAGGCTGAGAAGTCAAGGGACATGAGGACTGGGGAAGATGACTTGACTTGGCAAGCTGTCACTATAGAATTGAAAGGAGTGTGAATGGAGAAGCCAATGTGAGCAGCAATGGGCAACCTGCACAAATAGCAGCTGAAGCTGGAATAGAGGTTACATAATAGTCCTGGGACAAGACCCTAGTACAGTGTAATGATACATTACATATTCATCTGTATATATTCACAATTGTCAATGATAATAAAAAAGTTGATTATCATTCCGAGGCTCAAAATTAGGGTAAGAACTCTAAATACTCATTACTGAAGAACTCCAATGAGCATACAAAAGTAATTTTCTGGGTTTTAACTAAATTAAAAGAGGCATTAATTCTGTGTTTTCTCTACTGAACTAAAAACCATCATTAAAAACTGCATGTTGTCCTTGGCCACACGTGAGATTCAGAATGGTAAGTAATGAAGAAAAGTCCTAGGGGCATAACTCTTGCTTTACCAGCCCAGGGTTGACATGTCACTGAAGTGAAGGAAAACCCTGGAGGACAGTAAGAATAAAAAGTGCTTAATGATAAACTTACTCATCCTTTAATCTTGCATTAAGTTTAGGAAGACCCATGTATTCACACAGTTCTTGGAAAAATATTTTAACAAAAATCCTACTAGAGGACGTAGTGGTTTCTTCACTCAGCTTTATACATTCAAGAACCTGAAAATTAAATGAAATATACAATTTAATTTTGTTTAAAAGATTAAGACAAAGTGACCAATATTCATACTCAAACTTTCTCTTGAAATGATGATTTAGTCTCATCTTCAATCAGAATTATCTCTGAATAACTTCTCTAGTGGCGATATGTACTGTTTCCTGGCAAAGATTAAGACAATTTCTCTGTGCTAATTTTTAGAATGTTAAAATGCTACAGAAATAGAGTTCATTCTCTTTCTCGAGTACTGTGCTTTTTAGAGCAGGAATATATTGTCTTGAGTGTATAACGGTGCAGCAGAGATTACTAGCTCCTAAGCCTCATCAAAATGTGTGTATATGAGGTTTTGAGGCAAAATGCCACATAGAGCGTTAGGCTATAGTTTTGTACAGCATATGTAATATGCGACAAAAGTAAAGACAGGAAGAGTGATAGTTCATCCTGAATCGTACGACCGATGCTTAAAAACTGAAGCTCATGTTGATGTTTTACAACAAACAAAAATAAAAGCAACCTCCAGCTTGTTGAGTTATGTGTTCTAGGAGCTCTGGTGCTTCAATTGTAAAATTTTAATTTCATTTTCCCAAAGAGGGGAAAAACAAGTTTTAAAAAATTACGATTTGGCTCCTATGTTAGCTTAAAAAATGCTATTAATGTAGCTGGATATACTTAGTACTTAAAATATTACAAAAATCTACCCAGTGTTTATAAGCTCAATGATGTTGCTTCATTCTTCCATTAGATTCTGGTAGTCAATAATGTGATCCTCTTCTTTCTTTCCTCCAGGATGCAATTTCTTTCTATTGCTGGCTGAATGAACAGCAGTTATATAATAAATGCCAGCTTAATGAATGCATTTCAAATTGTAATCAAGCGTACGTTGACTCATTAAGACACCTTTCCTTGTTCTAACTATGGTTATAAGAATTCCTCCCAAACGCTTACCCAAATTCATTGTCTGCTAAAAAGAACATGTCTTATTAGGACAAACATTTCTCTCATGTCCCTCAGGAAACAAGCAGTAACTCAGCAATGCATGACTACCAAACCTGGGTGCATATTAACATCAGTGTGTACACATGTATGTGTACAAAGATAAAAATCTACAATCATTTCCATGAAAATACTCACAGCCATCGCTATTAAAAAGCACCAACATGTCTAAACTTTTAATATCATCCAGAATGGTTACATTCATATATTTATGCACTTAGCTTTTTTATTTCATGTTATATGAACATAATCTCAGAGACAGCTATTATAATAAAAGTTTGCTACACATTTCATTTTAAAGTACATTTCCTACATAGGAAAAGTAAGGGTATATTATACTTAATACACATTTGAGAATAACAGGAAATTAGGAAGGAAGTATAAACACTGAACTCCATCTACTTACACTCCATGGAAGTGAATCAGTGTATAGAAGATGAGCAAACATCTTAGCAACATTTCTCAATTTGTTTGTTTCCAAGCGATGGATGGTATCATACTGTTCTTTGAATATACTTTCAAAGGATTCCATGTACTCTTTCTTTAGCATGCAAAATCGCTATTAATTAAAAAAAATTGAGAATCAATACCATTATGAGCATATTAAATTCTTCTAAATTTATTGAATCAAAAGTAAATATTTTGTACATCTTTTTGTGCTATTTGATGAGATGCTCAAATAAGAAATGGGGTGACACTGGATCACAAAACCATATAGGTTTCAGTTGTACAATTCAATAAAACATCATTTGCACAGTGCCTTGTGTGCCTGTTGCACTAAGCAAAATCTCTTTCCTTCTCCATTTTCCCCTCTTTTTGCCCATCTCCACCTATCTCCACCCCTCTTTTCCTTAAGACACTGTTGTCTTAAGAACAGCCTTAGTGATTCCATTAAATTCCAATAAGAAAAAGAAAGCTAGAACTCACCCCAGCTAATAAGCCGAAAAATTTCTCATATGTTCTTTGTTGAGCACAGCAATCCAGTATCATGTTGCAGAGTTCTTTCTATTTGGGAAACAAATAACAATAATGATTCAAAACACAACGAATTCATGTTGTATAACTTATCAATATAATAGAGACATCTAAAATTTTAAGTAAGATTTTTTTTAAAAAAATTCTAAGACTGCGAATTTTAGTGACTAAGACAAAAAAATTAATCTATGCTAAGAGTAGTTTTTTTAAAGCCTTCAGTCTGGCAGACAGTTTCCATATGTCATTCATGCTAATTAGACTGATTATAAAATTCTAAATTTATGTAAGTGTGAATCACTTTAAGAGAACTTAGTATGTGCCCTCCTGGTGTGGCTCAGTGGTTGAGCATTGACCTATGAACTAGGAGATCATGGTGTGATTCTCAGTCAGGGCATATACTGGGAATTGAGTCCCAGTGTGGGGCATGTAGGAGGCAGCCAATCAATGATTCTCTCTCATAATTGATGTTTCTATCTCTCTCTCCTCCCTTCCTCTCTGAAATAAAAAATATATATTTTTTTAAAAAGAGAACCTAGTATGTATATGAAACAGACATATCCAAAAAGATATTGAATAAACTGTATTCTAAAAAGATTCCATAGAGAATTCTTTTAAATACAGGTCATCAATATGACATCTCACTAATACACCTAAAAATTAAGCTATACACCTTTTAAAGTTTTAAACTCCATTATTAGGAAATATATTTAATTTAGTATGGAAAAAGCAGAACATTATGAGTCTTTACAGAAGTGTAAATAGGCAAAAGTTTCAATATTTACTTAAATGACACACTGGTTAATAAAGAAAAAAATATATTTAAAAGAACAAAGAAAAAGATCTCTATGGCTGAATTTTCTAGCCTCAAAACAAATGTTTTACATACAGATCTATCTACAGCTTAATCTATACAAACAGATGGAATCATTTCATAACTGCTGGAGTAATATATTGTTTAATCAGCTATGTATATGCCTTGAAAATTCCTCTGTGAAAATTCTGTTAAGCTAGTAAGTCCAAGAATAAATCCAGGATCAAGAAATATCATTCTAAATTATTTATAATGAACAAATACTATTTATTAATTCCTGAAATAATCCTAATGAAATATGTATTGATTATAGCAATTTTATAGATGAAGACATTCAGGCAACAAGGACAAATCAATGGAGACAAAATAAAAAAGGCATAAATTCATTTTCTGACCACTGCTGTAGAATTGACTCATTTTTTTCTATAAAATACTTATTGGAAAGTTTAAAATTATACTTTTCAAACACAGTAACTGCAATATATTTGCTTTCTATAAACAGAAAGCAAGCTTATAAAATATAATATATAACCTTTCAGTTCATTTTTTTTTACTTAATTTATCTTTATATTTTCAATGAGCAACTTTGACATTTTGTCATATTTAATAGCATGAGCTGCAACCTAAGTAGATATTGTAAACACTTTAAAAATTAGGTCAATATATACTTACTACATCTATTTATGTACAAGGGAGAGGAAGGGGGCCCTGGAGAAGCACAGAATACACTCTAGATTGTTCTGTCCAGGAGGGTAGCCTGCAGCCACATGCAGCTATTTAAGTTTAAATTATGTGATATTACATGAAGTTAACACTTTAGTTCCTTGGTCACACTAGCCACACTTAAAGTTTTCAAAAGCCATTTGTGAGTAGCGGATGCTCACTGGACACAGGAGAATATGAATATTTTCACCACTGCACTAAGTTCTTTGGGAGAGCTCTGTTCTAGAAGCTGATAATCTATATATAAAATAAGCTACTCAAAGGCCTCACTTCACAATACAGAGTAATTTTTAGATATCTTTATACTGACAGATTATTTTTTAAAAGATTAGTCACAAGTTACCTCAATTAAATAAGTGTATAAGTTTTGAAAAGATGTACTTTGTCAAAATTTAGAATAGTACTAAAAACTGAAAGATGTTTTTCTGACTTCTGCCTTAGTATGTTAATTTTATATATTAAAAGGCATTTTCGGCTTTTCTACCAACACTGTATTTTACAATAACATAAGAGTTAATCAGGTTGTAAACACTGTAATATGGTAATATGCTGATAGCATTGCTAATAAAGCCAGCACTAGTTATAAAACAAATTACTTTCTTCCCTAGACTAAATGCAATTACAAGAGTTATTCCCTGTGGCTTATAATAATTAAATATTTTAACATTTTAATTAAATATTATAGCAGTTTTAGGAGAGTCTTTTGAGTGCCTAAAAATAGATGCACTAAGACATTCATCCAAATGTTATCAAAATATGTTGAGGTTAGTCCTAATATTATCCTCTGGATTAATATTAATGACATTTATAATGACTTAATTATATCCTCAAATAATGTGACAAGATCATACAGTAATTTCAGTTTCAAGTATAATTTTAAAGGTTAATTCACAAATTTATTTCTTTCCAATGACAACAATCAAGTGAACCTAGAGTATGAATAGGTACACTATTATTAATATACTAGAGGCCTGGTGCACAAAATTCATGCACTGGTAAGGTCCCTAGGTCTGGCCAGTGATCAGGGCCAATCGGGGCCATCCTTCCCCCAACTGCCGGCTGCCTGCTGGGGCCTTCCTTTGTTGCGTGCCGCCCCCTGGTGGTCAGTGCACTATGTAGTGAGCGGTCGAACTCCCAGTTGGTCAAACTCCAGAGGGGACAATTTGCATAATAGCCTTTTATTATATAGGATTAGTAAACAAACTTTAAGAGGAAAAAATAATTTTTTTAATTTAAAAATAATAATTTATTCTCAAAATTCCATATTATGGCATTTCAAGAATAAATCTACATTTTAGAACAAAGTTTGGCAAAATTTTTCTGTAAAAGGTCAGATAGTAAATATTTTAGATTTTTGGGGCCATTCAGTTGGTCTCTGTTGTAACTAGTCAGTTCTACTGTTATAAGGCAAAAGAAGCCATACACAACCAAAGGACATGGCTGTATTCCAATAAAACTTTATAAAAATGGGCAATGGCCTAGGCCACAGTCTGCCAATCCCTGTCACAGATCATATTTAAAGCCTTAAGACATACTCTCTCTCTCCCATTTGTTTTTGGGAGGCAACCTAATTTTTGGAGGCCTTGCTTTGGCAAGGCTGAAAATAAAAAAAGCCTTAAGACAAAGGACTTACAACTAATGGTAACTTAGCAAAGATAATTAAGATCTTTTTGAAGAACTAGAAACCAAACAGCCTGTTAGACTCTAGCATCTGTGCTGGGTCTAGCACATGTAAAGCAAGGTGTGAAAAACAAAACCGCAAAGCCTTGGTTCAGGTTCCAAGAATCCATCTGTAATTCTGTCAACAATAAATATATAAATAAAGTCTAGAGGGACTGGGAGTAACATACACAAGAGCACAACTAGAAAAAAGTAGCCAAGATAACCTATTTAGTCCAGTCTTTATTATCCTTAGCATTAGAGTTCTATGATACTTTGAACAGTGAGGTATGCTCAGTTATAAGACTATATAAGTCCTAGGGGCTAAAGGGGTCTAATATGTACTTTATAGATATTAAATACCTGACACTTTGCAGAGTGCCTGACAAAGTGTATATGCTGAATACAATTTGTTGAATGAATGAATGAAAAAACTGATATAGATTCTCTATAATTAATGTAACAACATGTATATATTGATCTTTATAATTTCTATCTGAAAATAATGTTTTAGTACATAAAGTAGATAGACCAGATAATTTATTAAAGAACAAATTTCCTAATGTATTTAAGCCACATTTTGATTTACAGTAACCACTCAGAAATTTATGTAAAGTGTAGTAACCTCCTCCTTTTCCCACATCGCATTCAAGCAGCCAATTTAATTCACTAGGAGTAACATATATGAAACACACCAGGACTCCTAAGTTTTGAGTTATTTTAAATTTTTTGAGTTATTTTACATTTTAATTATAAATTCTAGAAAAATCTAAATTTAAATATTTAGTACTAAGTCGTAATTTCAATTCATGAAACCTATTAATTATCCTAAACATTTTTATAACCAATATATTTCCTAATTGGAAAAAAAATTAACTTACTGTTTGGCTTTCAGGAAATTCCATTTTCAGCAATTTGTGAGCACATTCTTCAAAATCTAAACTGCAGAGATAAAATGCTCACAACCGTTAGGTTAAAAACTTGCAGCGTAGTTAAATTGTTGTACTCTTATAAAGAAACTTACTTTAACAGTTGTATTAAATACTTTTTATTATAATTTCATATTATATTATACATATAAAAAAGACATAGCTCTTTACAAAGGCAGTACTGATAACATACTATAATATGGATAAATCTTAAATTATGCTAAGTGAAAAAAGTCAAACACAAAGGACCACATATAGTATGATTCCGTTTATATAGAATGTCCTGAAAAGGAAATCCATATACAAAGAAAAGTAGACTTAAATTTTTATTACACTACTAAATTATTTCCACTTCTCTCTAATCCAAGTCAGGAAATGGTAGAAGATGCTTCAGGAGCCCAGCATGACATCTAGTGCTTAATCACCAGTTTTACAAGTTATCTTGATTCATACCCAAACATGGGGCTTCTACATCCATATGCTTCACCTACGACAGTGGTCGGCAAACTGCAGCTCACGAGCCACATGCGGCTCTTTGGCCCCTTGAGTGTGGCTCTTCCACAAAATACCACATGCAGGCGGGCATGTACAGTGCGACTGAAACTTCGTGGCCCATGAGCAGAAGTCGGTATTTTGTGGAAGAGCCACACTCAAGGGGCCAAAGAGCCACATGTGGCTTGTGAGCCGCAGTTTGCCAACAACTGACCTAAGAGAATTAGCAAACTTGATGTGAACTTGATTCAGGAATAATGCTAAGATATTTGGACTTTTTGTAGAATTTTCAAACCCTAATTATTTTGATAACAGTGATATCTGTATTTATCAGCTTCTGTTACTTATTGTGTTTCATAAGCACAATCCTATATAATAAAAGGCTAATATGCAAGTTGATTGAACAACGGAACCACTGGCTGCTATGACGAGTACTGACCACCAAGGGGCAGTCACTCAACACAGGAGCTGCCCCCTGGTGGTCAGTGCGCTCCCACAGGGGGAGCACCACTCAGCCAGAAGCGGGGCTCATGGCTGGTGAGCACAGTGGTGGTAGTGGGAGCTTCTCCTGCCTCCGTGGCAGCACTAAGGATGTCCGACTGACGGCTTAGGCCCGCTACCCAGGGGGAGCGGGCCTAAGCCGTCAGTCGGACATCCCCCAAGGGCTCCTCCCAGATTGTGAGAGGGTGCAGGCCAGGCTGAGGGACCCCCCTGAGTGCACGAATTTCATGCACCAGGCCTCTAGTAGGATAATAACCCAAGATGACACAATGTAATTGAATTTTTTAAAAAAACTAAAGTGGAAATAATTTACTTTAGGAAAATTTATTTATCAGGAAATAACTTTTATAACAGATAATATTAAACAATATTTAGCACTAAGGTTAAAATATTTAAGTATAATTGACAAACTTTAATAACATAGAGATACCAAAAAGTATTTAAAAGGATGTGACATTTTCTTTTCTAATATATTATTTCTAAAATATGCCTACCTATTTATCCAGTAAAGATATACTACAGGCACAGTAATATATATTCTATAGTTTTTCCCTCACCTAACATTATATCAGACCACTTGCCCATATCAATAACAATGCTCCATTAGCCTAATTTTCTTTTCTTTTATTATCCTCACCTGAGAATGTTTATCGACTTGAGAGAGAAAGGAAGGAGAGAGAGAAACGCTGATGTGAGAGAGAAACATCAATTCATATGTGCCCTGAGCAAGGATTGAACCCAAAACCTAGGTATGTGCCCAGATGGGGAATTGAACCCATAACCTTTTGGTGCATGGGACAACACTCCAACCAACTGAGCAACCCAGCCAGGGGTAGCCTAATTTTCATGGTGGCATAAACTAGACATTTTGATTATTTGTGTCAAACAATAAGACTGTCTCCTTTTTTTTTTTTTTTTTTAAACACTGAACAATTCTGTATATAATTTCCTACCAATATGCATGCCTTTAGGAAATATAATAATGAAAAAGAAGGGACAAATGGAATGGACACTAAAACCTTGATTCATGTTACTGAAAGGCTTCCCATAAAGAATTTAAATTCCCACTAGTAAGGCTTATCTATATATAATTCACTAAAATCATCATTAGTACTAAGTACTGTTGCTTTAATGAAATAAACCACTTCAGTTGTTTTAATGAGGGATAACATCACTTATTGGTGATATGTCTTATGACTAATATTTTTTATGTTTTACAATCCATTATATGAATCTCCCAACCATATCCTTGAAATACCTTTCTATCAGTCTTTGTGTTTCCTAAAATCTGTATGAGCTTTTAAGTATAATAACCTTTGTCATATATAAATAATTGTGACTAGGCATTTAGAGGCTGAGAACTCTTAACAAACACCAATACATAAGGCAGTAGTTACTATGATGGATATCACTACATAATAGTGGCTGTTACTGTGTCTTAAAGCTTTAAATTTGCCCTAACCGGTTTGGCTCAGGGGATAGAGCTTCGGCCTGCGGACTGAAGGGTCCCAGGTTCGATTCTGGTCAGGGGCGTGTGCCTTGGTTGCGGGCACATCCCCAGTGGGAGGTGTGCAGGGGGCAGCTGATCAATGTTTCTCTCTCATCGATGTTTCTGAGTCTCTATCCCTCTCCCTTCCTCTCTGTAAAAAATCAATAAAACATATATTTTTTTAAAAAAAAGCTTTAAATTTAAGTCTTTTCTGTAATTCAGAGATTATTAAGGTTAGGTCAACTTAAAAAAAGTTGCTTTTAAATAACCTTTCAAAGAGCTCCACTATAACCCTTCAAAGTTAATGTTAACAGCAATATTAAAACAATAAATCTGTTTACAACTTACTACTGTTAATTTTCTAAAAATGTATATACAAATAAAAGGTCAAACTCCTAAAACAGTTATCTATAACAAAAATTCTCATCTTCCACTTTAATTCTTCATGAAAAAAAAAAATATTTAATAGTTTCTTTTTCTTTCATGCAAAAGGCAAAGCAATAGGTAAGGATAAACCAAAAAATTTCTAACCAATGTTTGCTATTTAACTTTTCTTTTAGAAGATGAATCTAAGCCAAAGTTTTCAGACAGAAAAAAACAAGATGACTCCTACTTATGAATCATTATTGCTATTACATCATACTAAATGGAAATATACACAACCTAGTAACAAAGCAAAATAGAGAAAACATTTCTCCTCCAGAGTAAAATGTAAACACTGCCCACTAAATTAATAGATTGCTGCACAAACAAAACAACAGATGTACTAAACATTTTACATTTTCATTTACTTTTCTTCAAAACCAAACTCACAGGCTTCAAAGGGAATAGGTTTTGTTTTCATAGCATGATAATAGTTCTTACTTAACACTGACTCAAAGGGTCCTAAAAACCTTCCTAAACCTAATTTCTATTTCTATACATTTCTATTTGCACAACAAAATCAGTGTCCAAGAGTTAACATAACAGTGCTTCTCTCCTTAAAACCAGAATTAGAAAACAGAAAAATATAAAATATTAAATTTCCACTACACAATTAATACTGTGCTAGTTCTATAATACAGACTTGTTTTTAGGTTTTTATTAGTGCTATCTAATTATAAGAAATGATATAACTAGCCTGGCTGGTGTGGCACAGAACTGGGCATCGACCTCTGAACCAAGAGGTCATGGTTTGATTCTGGTGGGGGCACAGGCCTGCGTTTCAGGCTTGATCCCCAGTGTGGGGTGTACAGGTGGCAGCCAATTGTTTATTCTCTCTCATCATTGATGTTTCTATCTTACTCCTTTCTGAAATCAATAAAAATGTATTAAAAAAAAAAAAAAGAAGAAATGACATAACTAAAACAAACAAATAAAAACCCATTAAATTCTGTAACACAGTTAGGTCTTCCAAGTAAATAAAGATAATTTGCTTTTGAAGCAAAGAACCAAGAGTACGGACCTATCAGCTTGGCTTGGGATAGAGTTTGAGAATCACTAACATAGTATCAAGTTTTCTATCATCAGTTTCTAAAAATCCCATCTCCTTGTTCATTTGCTATCAAAAGTAAGAATTAACTGAGACAGTTATCTTACCTTGATTGAATAGCAAGATAAATTGTACGACGAAATGAGACTAGATTAATTTCTGTTTTGTCATGAATAGTCACTTTTTGTCCTGAAAGAAACAAGAAAATTATGCAAGTATGCAAATAAATGTGAAGAACTGAAAATGTATTTCTGTATTATAATTTTCGAATTACATTTAGAATCTATGAGTTTAAAAATAACAATATTTTTTTCTACAGTATAAATTAGTGTTTGTAGAATTCAAAGTAACTATTTCAAGTCTATTATCATATCTTAAAATACTTTAGTAAGTTTTGTTAGCTCAAAGAAGTTCAGAACCAAGCCAGAAAAGCTACTTTTGTTTCTGTGTCACTTGCTCATTTAGACACTATAAAAGGCTGCACCTATGATATTGCTTAGTAAGACATTATTTCCAGAGCTCTAAAAAGTATCTTCATAATTTGGAAGAACTATAACTTATGGGTAGAAGTACAGTTTCAGAGAACACTGGGATTATTGTGACAAGTTGGATGGGTCCAAAATAAATATGTGTATTTGTTAAAATTTTCTTGTATCTAATGAATGTTAAATATTTAATCAGTTTTATTTGAACAGTAACCTATATAATAAAAGGCTAATATGCAAATCGACTGAATGGCGGAACGGCTGGTTGCTATGACATGCACTACCACAAGGGGGCATATGCTCAATGCAGGAGCTGCCTCCTAGTGGTCAGTCTGCTCCCATAGGGGGAGCACCACTCAGGCAAAAGCTGGGCTCACAGCTGCTAAGTGCATCACTAGGCCATCAGTCAGACATCCCCTGAGGGCTCCTGGACTGTAATAGAGGGTGTAGGCCAGGCTGAGGGCTCCCCCCTCCCCCCCACCCTGCTGCCAGTGCACGAATTTCATGCACTGGACCTCTAGTTTTCACCTAAAACAAAGAAATTCTAAAGTAAAATATAGTACATGGATAGCAAGATGTTTTAAACAAATAAGACAATAGAGCAAAATTAAACTTATTTTTATAAAATACATTATAAAAAGCAGTTACACTTTAAGATAAGACAGAACTAAGTATGTTATGCCTTAAAAGGGAAAGAGATAGTTTTAAATTTTCAAATATGTAATGGAAGTAAATAATGACCAGTGTAGGCATGTTCTGATGTTTTAACTGAAACTCAATCGAAGTAGTGAGCTAATTTTCCTGTGAAATATAAGGTAATCAAAGTTGAAGAGGAAGAACATCATGCCTATTTTTGTATAAATATAGATTTTGGCCTCCCAACTTTATTTTGTCAAATGAACAGCAAATATCGAGTCATTCTCATCTGTCACATTAATGCTAGGGTTACATAAATCATATGCACTCAACATGAATGTACCTTATTCATAGTTTATAATCAAAGACAGAAAATGTCAAATTAAAATTATGCTGATGTTGGAAATGAATTTTCTTGTTTAATACTTGTAGAGTAAGTTTTTTTAACCTTGGCAATACTGACATTTTGAGCTGGATACTTGGTTGGAGGAGGGGCAGTCTTTTGACTTGTAATATCGTTTAACAGCATTCTTAGCCTTTATCCAGTAGATGACAGTAAAGAGACCCTCCCAAATCACACACACTGGGAACCATTGTTTCATTAGAATCAATTCAATTTCAGAGTATTTTACAGTACTATTTAAGTAAGCTATACTTTTACCTTCTTCGTCTTCTTCTCCCTCTTCCTCCTCTTCCTCCTCTTCCTCTTCACTACTTCCAGCATCTTGATCTGTGTTTGAATCACTATCTCCTTCATCAAGAATTTCTAAAAAACCAAAGTAAATTTAGGAAAATATCAACAAGGAAGTGATAGCCATTGCAGTTCCTTCTTCAAAGACAATTCTCAGAAATCTGTTTATCAACCAATACAGATAATAACAGAGGCCTCCTGTTATTGCCGAGGTGGTCAGAGAACATTATAACTAATTTGACTAGAAAGAGCCATGAGTCATTCTTCTGACAGACAGAAAGTGACCATGAAACAAGGGGGGATGAAAAAGAAAAAGTAGATGAAAGTTTTCAAAAGAGCAAGAGCATACTGACGTCAAAATATTCCTAGTTTATCACCAGAAAGAAGACAGTATATTACAAAAAGTTTAATTCTTGATATAGAAAACAAGAATTTAAGCTAAGAATGTTTTATGAAAGACAAAAAAAAGAGAAGAAAGTGTTGCATAACTTAGCATTCATTTTAATGAGATTTTTATTAAAATGTATACCTATTAAATAGAACATCACACTTAATCCAAAGACTTTCTATATATAAAACAAAAACCAAAGTTTAAAAAGCCTTTAGGAAAACTGGTAAGATGAGCACTTCATTGGATTATCACCTCTTAAAATACAGCTCACAGTCAGAACTGGGTGAAAATAGTGATGCAAATAAGAGACTATATAAAACAAGTAACAAAAACTAAAATTATATTTTGTTCAATCACATGTGTGCTCTATTAGTCTGATGAAAGATTTTACAACCTGGCCAACATTTCATTTTCCCCATTTCTATTATGATCAGAGAATTTTTAATAAAATGTTTTGGGGCCAATTCATTTTTAGAAAATTTCTAATGTCTTTCTATTTACTAAGCAGTATACTAGTATATAACTCAGGAGCCACATACAATATTGAATGTTAGTAGAGAACTTCATGCTATCAGGAATAAATCATTGTACAAGCAGGGAGACTTGTCATTCAGACCTTAGCCAATATACATATATCCTCAAGAATATTTGTAACAAGTGTTAGAAATAAACTGAAGTGTCTAGTTTATTATTATATAATATGGTTTTAGACAGACTTTTAAAAAGATGAAACTATTTAGTATTCAATAGAAGGAAGACAGGCACTCCTGCTGTTTTCCCAAATGCTGCAAGACCTAAAACACAAGTACACCTGAGTCACTCTAAGGTGCTAATTACTAAAGCTGTGCCCACTTCCTGCTGTGACCATTTTTTTATGCCAGCTCTAGAAGGATATTTTATGAAAGAATGAAGGTCAAATGAATTGTCTAGTCGTTTACATCATCCTCTTCTTGTCTGTTCACTTTAGAATCTACTTACTGAAAGCATATAGGCAATGACAATTAGATTTCATTAACTGGATAAAGCAGTGGTTTCAAAGTATAGTCTGTAAGTCTCTGGGTTGGGGAGGTAGGGATGGAGGTGGGGAATCACTGATACCTGTCAGGTGGTCTGTGAGGTTAAAACTATTTTCATAGTATTGCTAAGACATCATCCACCTTTCACTATGCTGACATCTGTAATGATGGCCCAAAGCATCAGGGGTTAAAACTGGGACAACCTGAGCACAAATCAAAGCATCAAACTGCACTAGCAGTAGTGTTCTTTGCTCTTAAAGTAGGGGAAAGCCCATTTCTCTTAACAATGACCCTGACAAATTATTGATTTTATTAAATTCCAGCCCTTGGTAGGTCTTTATAATAATCAGAGTAACAAAACATGAAGTTCATATATAGGACTGCTGTTAATGACAGACATAAGATGATGGTTATCTCAAGGAACAGCACTTATGCAATCATTTGAGTTTTAAGATGAATCAGCTTTTTTCATTTTTACTTCAAAGAATGGCTCACAACCTATAGTTCTCCTCCTAGGAACTTTCAGAGCAGTGAGTACTTTTCAGATAAAATCACAATTCAGGAAAATAAATCTATAAAGTTATCATAATATTATAATATTTAAGTGTGTAATAAAATAATATAAACATAATTATATAACTAGCCCTGACTATTAGCATTAGGAAATAAATGATAGAAATGTGAAACAAAATAGTATTATTGTCTAAATACTAGTTCTGTGACAATACAAAGCACTATATTTTGTTTATCTTCACACAAACAGGGAACATTTACTCTTACATCAAATAAGTAACTCTTCCAGGTCACTTAACTAGTAATGGCAGACAAAATACAAACCAAATTCTGTCCAAAGTATATGCTTACAATATATTAATGGTGTACAAATAATAATTATCTATTTATTAAGCACTGATATCTAGCACTGTGATTGATGTTATCAGAAGTCTATCAACCTGCTCTCAAGAAATAATAAAATAGAAGACTTGGAAACCAAGATGGCGGCATAGGTAAACACTGGAAATTGCTGCCTCACACAGCCACTTCAAAAATACAACTAAAAGACAAAACAGACATCATCCAGAACCACAGGAAGGCAGGCTGAGTGGAAATTCTACAACTAGAAGGAAAGAGAAAAGCACACTGAGACTCAGAGAAGGTGCGGAAGTAAAGTGCAGAGGTATAGAGGCGTGCGCGCAAAGGGCTGGCAACTGAGGACGTGGCGCACGTGGAAAAGGGCTGGAGGCTGAGGATGCGGCGCACGTGGAAAGGGCTGGAAGCTGAGGACGCGGCGCACGTGGAAATGCCTGGAAGCTGAGGACGTGGCGCATGTGGAAAGGGCTGGCAACTGAGGACGTGGCGCACGTGGAGAGGGCTGGCAGCTGAGGATGCAGCGCACGTGGAAAGGGCTGGCTGGCAGCTGAGCACGTGGAAAGGGCTGGAAACTGAGAACACGGTTGTCTATTTCAATCGGGAGGGAGTCTCAAGCTCCTGACTGCTCTGAACTCCAGTTCCGGGCGAGTCTCTGGGGACCCAAAGTCATACAGGAGAAACTGGACTGTCTGGCATCGGTCGGAACTCAACGGCGGCTTTCCCTCAGAGGTACTTACAGCAAAGCTTCTTAGGGTAGGACTTAGGAGCAGCCATAGATGCTTGCTCCACCCTGCTGATCCCCAGAGACCCCGCCCCACCCAAGCTGTGTGCAGAGGCTTTTGCATATGAAAGGCCTGGCCCTTTGCAATCTGAAAATTACCTAACAAACTGCAGCCGAGTCAGAGAAACCCAGAACTTCCAAAAGAAGGCCCAAGGCCCCACAGCAGCTTGCATTGCTTCACAGCTGGGTTCCTGCTGGGTAGCCTCAGGCAGAGGCTAAATTAGCACCTCCTTAGAGATCCAAGAGCCAGTGTACCCGGTTGTCAGAGTGGGACCATCCAGATTACAACTCCTCAGATCCATAAGGGACACACTCAGGGTGCAGACTCAGTGAGCACCAAAGCCCCACTGAAGCAAGTCTTGCCGCAGAAGGGTGTCTCCAGCACAGAAGTTCTCCCACTGAAGACACAGCTGATTCTCACAGCCAATTGGCCTGGAGGTCAATTCCTCCCAGTGATCCTACAACAATCAAGGCATAACTACAACAAGACTGTGCACAAAGCCCACAAGGGGGTGCACCAAGAGTGTCCACCTCAGGTAATTGGGGAGGCTGAGCCACTGGGCCCTATAGGAAACCTAACACAGAAAGCCACTCTATCAACACAGGAAAGCATAAAAAATGCGGAGACAAAGAAACAGGTCACAAATGACAGAAATGGAGGAAAGCAAACTACTGGATATAGAGTTCAAAACCACACTCAGAAGGTTTTTCAAGAATTCTCTAGAAACCGCCGATAAACTTAGACCTTCAAGAAATCTAGTGAGACCCTCGAGGTTATGAAAAAGGACCAACTAGAAATTAAGCATACACTGACTGAAATAAAGAATATTATACAGAGTTCCAACAGCAGACTAGAAGATCGCAAAAATCAAGTCAAAGATTTGAAATACGAAGAAGCAAAAAACACCCAACTGGAAAAACAAAAAGAAAAAAGAATCCAAAAATATGAAGATAGTGTAAGGAGCCTCTGGGACAACTTCAAACGTACCAACATCTGAATTATGGGGGTACCAGGAGAAGATAGAGAGCAAGATATTGAAAACCGTTTTGAAGAAATAATGACAGAAAACTTCCCCTACCTGGTGAAAGAAATAGACTTACAAGTCCAGGAAGTGCAGAGAACCCCAAACAAAAGGAATCCAAAGAGGTCCACACCAAGACACATCATAATTAAAATGCCAAGAACAAAAGACAAAGAGAGACTCTTACAAGCAGCAAGAGAAAGAAACTCAGTTACCTACAAGGGAGTACCCATAGGACTGTCAGCTGATTTCTCAACAGAAACTATGCAGGCCAGAAGGGAGTGGCAAGAAATATTCAAAGTGATGAATGCCAAGAACCTACAACCAAGATTACTTTATCCAGCAAAGCTATCTTTCAGAATTGAAGGTCAGATAAAGAGCTTCACAAATAAGAAAAAGCTAAAGGAGTTCATCACCACCAAACCAGTATTATAGGAAATGCTGAAAGGTATCCTTTAAGAAGAGGAAGAAGAAGAAAAAGGTACAGATACAAATTATGAACAACAAATACACATCTATCAACAAGTGAATCTAAAAATCAAGTGAATAAATAATTTGATGAACAGAATAAACTGGTGAATATAATAGAATCAGGGGCATAGAAAGGGAGTGGACTGACTATTCTTGGGGGGGGGGGTAAAGGAGTGTGGGGGATACGGGAAGAGACTGAACAAAAATTGTACACCTATGGATGAGGACAGTGGGGGGGCGGGGAGTAAGGGCCGAGGGTGGGGTGGGAACCAGATGGAGGGGAGCTATTGGGGGAAAAAAGAGGAACAACTGTAATAATCTGAACAATAAAGATTTAATTTAAAAAAAAAAGAAATAAAAAAGAAATAATAAAATATAGCACTTAATTGAATAATAAATTGCATGTCATTTAAAGTAGTAATTCTTAGGTGGTAGTGAAGTCAAATAAAGTGTACTAGTAATACATGAATATTCTTAAGAGGGCTAAAAATTAAGAGTTACACAATTAAAACACAGGGAAAGAGGAGATAAAAAAACTATGTAAATAATTTAGAATGAAATAGTACATTGGACAAGCATTAAACAGAAAAATAATGCATACAAAAACAATGAAGAATATGGCTTCAATAAAAGTAGAGATTTAATTAGGCGCGGTCAGTGATCTATATATATCTTTCTATCAGTATTATATAACTGCAAAAACTGCTTCAACTTATCCAAAATAAAATCATTTAATAAAATTCTACGTACCCTTCTTAATAGCTTTGTACTTCTCTTCATTCTCCATAAAATTAGGATCCATCTTGAAAACATCTTAAAAAAATAAATTAAAAGTTTAAGTAAGTTTTTATTTTCTGTGCTTACACCTTTTGGTGCCCTACTTCCCAACCATCACCCCCTAACTTACTAAGAACATCTTCTGGATTATAGTCATCTTCAAGAGGAAGCATGTGGGTGAACTGATCATCTTCTTCCACTAAGTCAAGTCCTTCTAGAATAACAGGGTGGTCCTTGAACCCATCTTTCCTTACAGCAAACATCACTTCAATCATGTACTGGACTCTTTTGTCTATTTCAGACTCATGGAGAATGTTTCGAAGGCGTTCAAATATAGCTAGGTTAAGCAGAAAGAAAAGACAATAAAATAAGCAATAAATATTATAATACTCAAAACAAAAGCTGGATATCAAAACAAGGATATACACTACCATTGATTCCTCGTGGTGACACCTGTGTTAATTTGAGGCCACATTCCTTGAGAAAACCAATAGCTACTTCAACACTATCATCTGTTGGTCTTTCCAGGAGCAAAGTGAGCATCTCTAAGCATAAAACTTCATGTGCCTTAAATAGAATAAAGACATATGGAATAGAGAAAATGTTTTAACATTTATAAGCCTAGTATTGACAGTAATTTTAAAAGTTACTAAATCTGTTTTTTGCAGTGATAATATTGTATTAGCAAAGTTTTATAATGTATATAAAAATACTGCATATATGAAATACAATTATTCTTTTGCTTTCATTATGCATCTGTTAAGAATTCCCAAATGATTATTACAAAATTCCTAGTGTATTGCACTGAATAAAACTATCTGACTTACCTCCAGGAGAAATATTCTTATACATAATATAAAAAATTATAACATTTATTACCTATAGGAAATACAATAATTAACCTCAAAATATAAATTAAAATTCTTTAATCTGAGATATTTTCATAGTCACTATATTAAGCATAGTGATTCTCTATAAGCACAAATATTTATATCCATTGTCCATTTCATCTTATCAGCAACTATTAGATAGAAAACAATTCTTAAATTATATGCATAATTATTTTATCAGAAAATATCTTAATTTCTGATATGAAATTATAGTTTTAAATATATCTTTTATTTTTTAAACTAAATCAAACTACTTACACTGGCCATAATAAAAAAGTTAACACCTATAAACAATGCCAGGTAGAGTGGGAATAAAATTCTATTGGGAAGCTTTGCTGTGAAAATGAACTAGAAATGTTCAAAAACACTATACATAAGCCTTTCTGAAGTCGGACACTTATTTAAGATGGGAAGGGAAAAAGTCTAAATTTCAACTCAATACATTATTTTTTTTTGCATTGAGCACAAGATAAAAAATACATACTACTTTTTATGGGAGGGGGCAAACAGTCTTATAAATTACAAGAAAACATCACCCTGTATCACAGTTGGGAAGAAAATATTTATCATTTTAACTGTTTTTGACAATGCCAAAGTATCTCTAATATAAAGTAAGATATACATTATAAAACTGAAACATACAGTTGTGCTGACATAGACATGTGAAGTTTTTATAGTCTTAAACAGCATGTTATTATTGTTATAACTAATTAGGTTACAATCTAAAAGGTTTCTAAGAGTAAACACTGACAAGAATTTCACATAGGAATTAAAATAATATTTATGCTAGAGAAATAAAAGTGTGATTTTAAAATTGTTCTTATAGATACCATCAAACATGATAATACATATTGAAAAAAACTTTGAATGTGAACAAGAACAATTTTTACTATCTCCTTCAAGTTGAAACAGAATCAAAACTCTCAAATAGTGATTAAATACAAAATAAACACAAAACTGGATAACATTATTTGTATTTAAAATTACTTAATCTACTATCCTATATAATAAAAGCCTATTATGCAAATTGTCCCCTTGGACGGTCATTCAACCCGGGAGTTTGACTGGGAGACCAGGAGTTTGACTGCTCACTATGATGTGTGCTGACCACTAGGGGGCGGCACAAAACATGGCAGGCGTAAACGATGCACTGATGGCAGTGGGCAGCAGTGGAGGCGCTGCCGGCTCCAATGGGCCCCGACGAGAGCGGGACCATGGTGGAATAGTGGAGCAGGTGAGCGGGCGGCACCAGGCCAAGGCGGGATGCGAGGTGGGGCTGCAGGGTGGGGACGCAAGCTGGGGCCCGATCTCTGCAGGCCACCCCAAGGGACCCCACCAGTGCACAAATTCATGCACCGGGCATCTAGTATTTTATAAACTGATTCTATGAATATATGGCTACATATACTATATATACTAGTTGCAGGGATCAGGAATTTTTATTATTAGATATTATTAGGTTCTCATAAACACCATGCCCAGGGGGAAAGAGTGGAGGAAATACCAACTTTATTGCTTTATAAAAACAAGTGCTATTACTTTCTCTGAAAAAATGATTTGTAGTTAAGTGAACATGAACAGAATTACGAGATCAATTTGATAAAACAATGTCTGGTTATTCTTCATATGAAATAATATTGAAGGCATTTATTATAGTTTTAACATTAAAATATTATCCAAGATACTTTTCCAAAGACTATAAAATCAAAACAAAAACAGAGATATGTCATTGAAGTGCATCAAGTCTGTGTGGTCTAATGTCACTACAAGGTACTAAGTTTTGAAGATAATTACTTACCACATTTTGGTTAATAAGATGTGCCACAAATTTTGAAGCAGTCAGACAAAGTTGCTGGTAAGTGAAGGTAGAGAAAAAGTTAATCTCTAAACTAAAACCAATTTTCATTTATCTAAAAATCTATAGCTTACACACTCTTTAAAATATGTAATACACAGGAACATTTTTATATTAAAGTTAAAGGATAAGAACTAATAGATGTGAAAGAGTGCCATTTCTGGCAAAATAGTTAAAATTTCTGTGGCTCATCATTAGCAGCCAGAGATATTTAATAGAGTAAAAAAAAGTTCTCATGAAATATGCAGTTTTAAAAAAGCATTCCTACATAGAAATCAACATTGCTCACTATTGTTGATACTGATTTATTAATCTGTCCTTATATGGCAGTTTACTTACAAGCCCATCATATATACCTTATCATTTCTTCGATAGCCTTTCCGAAAATTAAGAATTAACCTCTTGAGAATTAATTCCCCGATTTGTGGAAATTTTGAGTTGATAATAGCCACTAAGGCTGCATAAACATGGGTGAAGATTGGAGAAGCACTCTGTGCTTGCAAAACAGATCTGGACAGCAGGCCTCTGTTTAAAAAAAAAACACACACAAAAAAAACATCAACAATAATCACCAATTTGATTAGAAGAATAAAAAACTCATTTAAAATCCAGTAATATTATTCCTCTGTAAATAATCACAAATGCTAAATCAGGATTAAATTTATATCACTTTATTTGGGAGAAAAGTTTATCTTTCTAACAAATAAAAACTGCTTTTGAGAAAATAAACTTCAATTTGTGCTTTCACAAAACAGATTTTACTACAATTTTTTCTTCAAAAAATTTTCTCTCACAATATAATTCCTCTTTTCCAATTTCTGTTTGTTATATCTAATTATAAATTTGAGTTTTTTTAAACTTCTTAGAAGTAATTAAACATTTGCAAAATAGTATAAGAAAAAAAGACCTGCTTCAAAAGTACTAAACTTAAACAAAATAAGATTTCCACTACTGGACCATTATTTTATATAAAATTATGTGATTAAAGACAAACTTGGGTATTTCCCATCTTTAAGCCTATTTTCAGTAAATTAAAAATGAAGATTTGGAAGCAATGCAAGAATAATGCTAAAACAATGACAGAAATATAAAAAGTTCTATGTTAACTCATTTTTAAAATAAGCATGTTTCTATATGCATGTGACAAGGAGAAAGATGCAAAGTGGGCTGAACAGTTATTTTTAGCAATATAATGACAAATAATTATTAGACTGCCAAAAGGCAGGAAAACATTGTCTTAGTAGTCATCGGGTTAAGGTGTGACAATTAAATCATTAAGGTAGAAAATGAGAAAAGAGAACTCAGCTAATAAGTGGTAAGATCTTAAGCAACCCACATAAGTTCTCAGAAAATGAAAGAGCACTACCTACTTCTGAGAACAGTGGCTACCTGAGGTCACCTTTCTTTATCCTCACAACATGCTACACCTTAGTTTATATGCCCAATGTTGTTTGGAAAGGAATCAGGGTCATGTGAAAATAGACTTCAGATTTAAATAATAAACAGAATGAATACGGGATATCTGTTTCCTGACCCTTTTCAACATCACCAACTACTTAAATCCGCAAAGAAAATGCTAAGTCATTCTCTTCTGCTTTTCTAAAATTTATTACTTACCTTCCTCACTTCTTTCACATTCTCACTTTGTTTTCATTAGAAATTAAACTGGTTCATGAGTTTAAGTTATTAGAAGTATTCCATACATAAATATCTTCAAAAATCATTATATCACATCAAAGCTTCTTAAAAGCAAAATCTCCATACAACCTTCAATTGTTAAGTACAGGCTATTTGTTAATAGTTACCTTTTTACAAAAATTGCATTTTAAATATCCACAATTACCTTTAAAATAAGGCAGCATAATAAATCAATAATTATGGTTCATGTAGGTTATGTTCCTTTGAAAAACCACTACGAAATACTACAAATAAAATAGCTGATGCTTACCTCCCTCTAACTATGTTTTCTTGAAGGAGTTCCTGAATAATAATACCTATATTAGAAATGTTGACTTTGTTGATAAGACCATTAATTGACTTCTTTAGGGCTTCCCAGCTCATCCTCTGGTATGCTAAGCTAAAAAGAATAGATTTTAATAAAGATTAAAATTCCATCAGCAATCACAATAACAAGAGGTTATTTGAACATAAAAAATACTTAGTGCCTTTATTTTTAACATTATTTCCATAAAATGACCACAAATGCAGTAAAATATTACTAAATAAACACAGATTATATCCTAAGCCAGTGGTCGGCAAACTGCGGCTCACGAGCCACATGCGGCTCTTTGGCCCCTTGAGTGTGGCTCTTCCACAAAATACCACGTGCAGGCGGGCATGTACAGTGCGATTGAAACTTCGTGGCCCATGCACAGAAGTTGATATTTTGTGGAAGAGCCACACTCAAAGGGCCAAAGAGCCGCATGTGGCTTGTGAGCCGCAGTTTGCTGACCACTGTCCTAAGCTATTTGATTTTTATGTACATATAATGCTTACACACAGACTGCTTCCCTTTAATAACATACATTTATTAAGGACAGATAAGGATAATCATGTATATTGCACTTTACATTTAATTCATTAATCAGATTCAATACATGGTTATTTTACATTATAACACTTTATACAAACTTGTCTTTAAAAATTTTTTTAGATAAAAGCTATTATTTTTTATTTTAAATTATAATCTGAAATACCTACATATAAACCATAAAAAGGAAATTTTTATTATGTTCCATCTCCTAAAAGCATGAGAAAACAAAATTATTTTAAACTATCCTATATAATAAAAGCCCAGCAACCAAACGGCAGAATGACCAGACCAGTCAACCAGTCGCTATGACGCACACTGACCACCGGGGGCAGGCCCTCAATGCAGGAACTACCCCCTGGTGGTCAGTGCGCTACCACAGTGGGAGCGTCACTCAGCTGACCGGGATGAGTGGCTGCTCTCGCAGCAGCTTAGAGGGCGGGTCCATAGCCGCTCGACTGAGCGGCACTCCTATAGTGGGCCGATCCCTGCAGGCCATACCCCCCACTAGTGCACAATCCTGTGCACCGGACCTCTGGTAAAGAAATAATAATTATAGGAAAAGGAAAGTCATATGAAATCGTGGGCTGAAAGACTGTTCTAAATATTTAAAGAATGTCTCTACATTTATGTAATAATCCCATAGCTGTACCAGCTGAATGCCAGATAGCTATACTTTTTAACTAAAGTCGTAGGTAAATTTTTCAGCCTTAAAGTTTCTTTGGTTGAACGTGATACTGTCTAAAACCTTTTAAAGCTCTAAGATTCTATGGTTTTTTTGTAATTATTTCTTTGTGGAATGTCATTTCAGATGCAGTTTTAATTTTTTTTTCTTACATATAAATTTTTGAGGAAGCTGATAGACTTCTTGGGATAATATTTACAAATGTATAGGATTACAAAGGATAGCAATCATACTGAAATATAGTTTTTAAAACATGAAAAGAACAAAAGTTTGATATAGTACTCTCTGTGCTTCTTAACAAATTAAATAACAAGAACTGGTAGTAGGCCTAATAACGTCTTTAATTTCCAAATACCATGGCCATAAAGAATTATTATGAGATATTTGCAACTAATAGTCTATTAATACTATGGTCTGTTACCTACATTCCCATAGAAAAAAAATGATAAATTTTAGTTAGAGATTAGTAAAAATAAAGATGCATTTCCCCCCATTTATGTTCATGAACTGCCTGAATTCTATTCATGGATCTCTTAAAGGTGTGTAGGTTAAGATTCCCTATTCTGGAGTGACTAGAGGCCACTTGCACAAAATTTGTGCAAAAGTAGGTCTTCCTTCCCCCGGCTGCTGGCTCCAGCTTCCCTGTGGCACCCAGGACCTGGGCTTCCCTCACAGCCCCGGCTTCATCTGGAAGGACGTCAAGTCTAATTAGTATATTATGCTTTTATTATTATAGATATTGAGGAGGGATGGGGAGAGTATTTTATTACTGATACTATCCTCAGCAAACACTGAGGAGATACTAAGCAGACTGAATTGTAGTTAATTTTATTACTGTTTCTAAATTTGCTATAGATCATGTACCCCTTAGTGCCTGCACTCCCACTGTTCCTCAACCCCAACCTTTTGGTATGCTACTATCTCTAAAGAAATATATCTACGGCTTAATAACCAACTTGACCAATAAAATATTACTGATAATCACTTCTATTAAACTTTGATCAAAAAACTGTATCAAGTAAAATTATACTTAATTATAAAGCCTACAATTCACCTGATTAAGTACCTACTAAAAGCAAAGACTATAGATTTCTCTTAGAGACTTAATTTTCTTTGTCCCCTTTACAGCCTCTGAACAGACTTCAAACATATATATATATATATATACTAGAAGCCCGCTGCAGGAGGATTCCTGCAAGAATAGGGCTTCCTCGGGCCGATCGCGCTGCCAAGCCCCTCCGCCCAGGGCTGCACACGGGGGTCCCAGCTGGGGGCGGGATTTAGGTGGCCCGTTTGCGCCGCCAAGACCCTCCGCCCAGGGCCAAACATAGGGGTCCTGGCTGGGGGCGGGACTTAGGCGGCACACGGGGGCCGGATGGCAGCTTGCACTGGCCCACCCTGCCTGCAGTATGCAAATTAGCCGCCACCTTTGTTGGCGGTTAATTTGCATATTGCACTGATTAGCCAATGGGAGGCATAGCGAAGGTACGGTCAATTACCATGTTTGTCTATTATTAGATTAGATAAAGTTATATTCTAGGAATTACTTAAAATTTCACATATTGCTGACTGCCCACTTTATTCATAAGAAAAACTTGCATTAACAATGCTTCTTGTTTTTTACAATTAGGATTGCTTTGGGCTGGACTGGGGACAGTTAATACTTCTCACTAATGCTGCCACTACTGCTTCTACAAGAGCTAAACGCCTATGTGGTCATGAAGCTCCCACGAACCACAGAGGCCATCTCCAAATCCCTCCTCAGCATAACACTCCAAGCATCACTACCAAGTGTTGGGACATGACATATGAAGAGAAACATACTTACCAGTTTTAAATTTAATGTCATCTAATATCCCTTTCTAGCACATAACTTTTTAAGTTTTAACTTATCTCAAGTCTTTACACTTACACAAATGACATTTCTACTTCAAGCTCAGTTTTGAAACACATTTAGACTTCATTTATACAAGGTTATCAAGTACTTTCAAGTTGCCATTAAAATACCCACAAAAGATGCAGGAACACTCTTTCTTGACAAACCTAGAATCTGTTTTTCTTAAAGTATAGCTATCTTCTAGGCCAATCTTTTTACTACCTACCTAGCAACTAAGTGGGCATTTCAATCTTACACCTAGATGTTATCTCATCCCATGAGAGAAAACTTAACTGCACTTTCCTATATAGCTCCTCAACATCCCAATTGTTTTAAAAAGGGAAGGAAAGGTATTTTCAGTGTGAATAGTCATATATAAATTTTGAATGTCTGCCTTAGTGTAGCAAAACATTATAATCCAAGATGTTATGGTCAAAGAAAAGGAGGGAAAAAAAAATTGTAAACTTAGTTCCATGGATTAGTACTGGGGTTGGCAAATTACACCCATGAGCCAAATGTGGTCCGCTGCCTGTTTGTGTAAATAAAGCTTTATTGGAACAAAGCTGCTTATTTGTTTACATATTATTTATGGCTGTATTCCCAAGAGTCATCAAGTAGTTGCAACAAAGATAGAATAACAGACAAAGACTTAAATATTTACTGTCTGATCTTTTCCAGAAAAAGTATGCCAACTCCTGGTTTGGTAAAACTGAAGATTCATTTTAGGTAAAAAATATCAATACTCTTGATTATCCAGGAAAAAGAGACACTACCAATAGGTAAGCATGCAACTATGAAAGAAATAATCTAAAATAGCTAAGTGTTATTTCCTTAAATTTTTAAATTCATACATGCAAAGAAATAAAGAAGTGCTGAGCTAATGTGTCAGAGTAGGACAAATAGCATGCAGCATTCCAATGAAGCTTATAGAGTGAAGAAGGGAAGAAGTCTAATTTGAGGGATCTATCATTGTGGAATAATGTAAATTCTCAACAGCCAAGGTTAATTAGACCGTAGTTGATTTTTGTTTTTCAATGAGATATCATTGCCTTGTATAGTTAGTGATATGAACATGCCTGTTTTTATCTGTGATCTGTTCTTGCATCATCCTGAGCTTTGCAGGAGGAATATATGCTCCACCAGTACGAGTAAGAAGAGGATCCAGCTCCTCTTTCTTCTTCTTTGCAGTAGGCTCATCCTGAGCAGAGGAACTTTGGGTCACCGATGGTTCTGGGCTTCTTCTCCCAGGCGATGAAGATCTCCGGTACCTTTTCCGATCCACATCTCTTTCTCTTTCTCTTTCTCTGCGTTTCTCTCTGTCCCTACTTCTGTAACATTAAATTTTGGAAAATGGAGAAAAGACAATATAAAATACAATCTTAAATGTATTTCTACATACCAAATGAGTGAGACCATAAGTGGGCCCAATAAATTCAGAGAAGGAAAAGTGGTTTGGAATGGGTAGAAAGTACTTCACAAGAAAATGTAATTAAATTAACTTATGTCATCAAGGCTTGACAATTTATATTGGGGGCAAGAAGACAAGGGGAGAGCGAAGGGTGAATGGCTTTCTGCAAGTAGTAGAAGACAAAATAACTAATGGAAAACTGAGCAAGGGTGTTCAGGCCAGAATGAAAAGAACAATCAGGAAACAATAAAGAATCATGTATAACAGTAGTTGGAAGTATGTGTTCAAGTCAGGCTGAAATTTTCAAAGACAAGCAATACACTTTAAATAGTTTCAGAGTGGAATAGTGACATAAAAAGAGTGTTTTAAGAAGACAAATTGGCTTGTGATACACATGATATAAACTATATAAAGGAGAAACCAGAATTTATCATCAATAATGACAATTTAGGAGTAAGACTATCATAAAAATGTAACATTTGAAATTGTTTCTTGATATAACTGGTATTTTTATCAAAAACTTCAGAATACCAGAAGTTTCTGTTTGAGACAATTTTTAAAGAAAATCAACCATTTTCTAGCCACAATTACTCTTCCCTATTAATGCAAGTGAGTATTCTTTCTTAAGCTAACACTTTTAAAATAATTAGAATATTGCTCTCTGAAACTATCAAGAGTAACAGGAAAGGGTAAATCCTTGATTTTTGCTATCTTTCCCCAGAGAAGAGCTTGTCCACTTACCTATTTTTTACATATACAGATACTGCCTTGGAAACTCAGGTCATTCTACTCACACTTTGTGCAACGATGAGTTATATGAATACAGTAAATAAAAACTGTTTTATATTATCTTATATGAAAGCAAGGGCTGCACAACCAGGAAACCACTGAATAGATTTTACCTAAATCTAGACGGCATATGAGATTACTGTCTTAATATACAGTAATGCAACCTAGAGACAGAGAAAAGCAGGCAGTTTGAAAATGATGTCTAGAAACCCCAATTAGTCACAAAGTCAGGTGCTCTGAAATCTAGGCACTGATTTGCAATGGAGTTGCTTCCTGTTATGAAGATAAAATGTTCCAAGAGAGTAGCTAACAGCAATGATTATGATTCTTCTGAGAACCACCGACTAAAACTATTAACTGGCTGATAAAATCGTCTCCTTATAATTATAGTGCTGGTTCCTTTAGAGTGCATGAGCAACACAGTCTCCTTTGAATCCAGATAGAAATATTTCTCTTCAAATGCTTTTGGACTGTTAGCCATTATATTCCACCTTAATACTTCAGTGTGACTGTGTGGGTCAAATGAGACTTTTTGTACATAAAATGGACCAAACACAGACTTACAGTGAAGTAATACAGTCAGGAATGATGAAAAATCATGGGCTTTAGAGTGAGAATTGAGTTCAAATCCCAGTTTCATCATCTACCAGACAGGTAACTGCCACTTCGGGTAAATTACTCAAATCACTTCAAATCAGTCCTCTTTTCTAAACTGTGAAAAACAGTATCTAGCTCATATGTGAGAAAGTATTCAAAATGCCTAGCACAGTGGTCGGCAAACTGCGGCTCACGAGCTACATGCGGCTCTTTGGCCCCTTGAGTGTGGCTCTTCCACAAAATACCACATGCGGACGCGCATGTACAGTGCGATTGAAACTTCATGGCCCATGCGCAGAAGTCGGTATTTTGTGGAAGAGCCACACTCAAGGGGCCAAAGAGCCACATGTGGCTCACGAGCCACAGTTTGCCGACCAATGGCCTAGCACACTAAATATGGTGATAATAGTTGTTCTTATTAAGGTGTCATTAAGGTGACAGACGATGGGATTGGCTTTTGGAGGCTCATTTAATCTGACATTTGAAGACTGGAGATATATATGAAAGTAAAAGAAGTGAAAAGGAAATTTGAGCTGCAGATATCAAATAATCCATTTAAGCACCAAATTGCAGAGTTTTGATCAAAATTCTAGTAGGAATACAGTTTTAGAAGTCATGGATTAGGTACCGACAGAGATATCAAAATCAGTAAGAACTTAGTGAACAATAAAACATAGTAGACAAGTTTTTGAAGCTAGATGACTAATAAGGTGGGTAGTCAAGTTCTCCAAGACTAAGAATAATAACATATTTAGATTAAAACCACAGATTGGTAACTTCATTTTCAATGTTCATTTGCCGTTATGCAGGAAAGTAAATTTAGATCACTTTAGGTAATATAATATAAACAACTTCCTTTCATTCAGTAAAGAACCTCAAAACACACGAGCCAACTCCTCTTGCAGTACAGTATAATGAATAAGAGCTTTGGCTCTAGAGTCAGACAGATTTGAGACTAACATGCTTCTAGAACACACACAAATGTTTTAACTTCTCTAAGCCTGTTTCTTTTTTTAAAATTTTTTTGTTATTACATGTGTCCTTATCCCCATGTTACCCCCCATCTAAGCCTGTTTCTTGATCTATAAATAGACATAACAGCATCTACCATCATACACTTACTGCAATAGAACTAATTTACATGAAGTCCTTATTAGAAGATCATCCACTTAATGCTATTATTGTTTTTATTATAAAGAAAAAAGAAAAGTTAAACTAATACACTCTTTCTATAGTTAAAATTTCCAATACTAACCGTGACTCCATGCTGCCATCATAAGAACGTCCTCTTCTTGAACGCTCATTGTCTGACCTGCTGTACTCAAAGTAATCTCTATCCCGGGGGGATCTTTCTTGTTCTGCATATCTAACACAGCAAATAAGAAAACCAAAGTTGAAAACAGCTATGTTACACTTAGGAAAGCCATACATTGGTAATGTAAAGCAACTCTATGACTAAAAAATGTCTTATCAAACTGTTTTTAACAGACAGCTCATTATTTGACACCCATTCATTCAGTCTTGATTATAAAAGCTTTGTTGTACCCAACAACAAAACAACTGCTGGAATTCACTTAACCAAACTTGTCATCCTGATTCACACTGTCCTTAGCAAGATATGTATCTGGATATCGTATATAGTCAGCATGAAAAACACTCATCCTGAAAATGACTTTTTTTGCTTAGTCTATAGCTACTCATTTTATCAAAACACTGAATAAATGAGATCAATGTCATCAGTTGGTGTCTATAAAGACCAGTTTAACTTCACTCCAAAAGGGAGGGACTTCGGGAGGGCTCCAGAGCGTATCCAGCCATCTTGCTCAGTCCCGGATCGGCCGGACCCCAGCAGCAAGCTAACCTACAGGTCGTAGTGTCTACCCCCTGGTGATCAGGGCACATCATAGCGAGCGGTTGAGCAGCCTTAGCATATCATCAGCATATTATGCTTTGATTGATTGAAAGGCCAACCGGTCGACTGGACACTTAGCATATTAGGTTTTTATTATATAGGATTATTCTTGAAACTGCATTTTTGGATAGCAGTGGCAATGGATTAAAATTACTAGAAACAAGGATGAATAGTACAAAATCTGCTATTTGAATGTTAAAAATCAGTAAAATCAGAGAACCTTAACAGAAGTTAAATACACACCCACATAATAAATATACATAGTAACATAATCAATATTTTATAGACACATTTAAGTCTTTGGAGAGATTATTTTTTTAAATATAGAGAGTAGATGACTGATGAAAGGTAGTAAGTAGTTGCAAACCATGGCAATTAACTTGCCCATGAAGAAAGATTTTTAGCAGAGAAAGGAGATTTTTAGCAAGGAGAGGAAGAGATTAGACAAATGAAAGAAAGTTTGGAGGGTGCTTTTCCCTTCATAAATTATTTTTAATAGTCACGGTTTACTAAGTGAAATAACTTAAGTCCATATGAAAGCATTATGAATATAATGGTAATATTTCTGCATCTTTGATCTTAACATGATATATAAACAATACTAGTATTTTAAAGACTATAAAAAGCTCTGTAAATGTAAAGGATAGTAGTAACAGCAAAAGCAGCACCTCAAAATAATGTAATTTCAACTCAGTTTTCCATTTTATAAACTCATTCTAGAGAGAGATATTAAAGTTCTTCCCTCTTCCCTAAAAAATTACTTAAAATCTAGATTTATTTACTAGAAAGACCTACGTCAGTCAAGAATGATTCATACTCAAGTCCACTCAATATTCTTTATAAAACCATAAAAAAGAAGTTGTCCACTCTAAAATTGGGAAACTAAGAGTTAAGTAATTTCTTAAACTTATAAAACATTTAAATTGAATTCAGAACACATAAAACTGTTTACCTGTCTTCTGGAGAGACGGTCCTTTGATATGAACTGTTGTTTTCCCTTCTGTCATGACCTGAAGAATGCTTCCAAAAAGAAAAAAAAGAAGTATTTAAAAAATCATGTTAACACACAGCCAATGAAATATATATCTCATAAAATTGGAAATGCTTTAGAAATTACTTCAAAATATTTTTCAAAAATCTGTTTTCACTATTGCGCAAAAAAACCCCAAAAATTCAAGGTAGATGAAAATATTTCTCACATGCCACCTTGCTGATATTTTATTCCTATATATGTTATAAATGTATAGGATACCACTTTTATTTCACCTCCCCTGGTGAAAAATAAGATCAAAACTTTCTTTTGGTGAAAAACATGACTAAGGGCCAGAGGTTTTCTAGCAAGAGCTCACTTTTGTGGTTATGCCCAAGACTTACTACTGCACTGGCCTTCTTATTTCCTTTGGCTTATAATAATCACAATTTTAGTCCAAGTTAATGAATCTAGATATAATAAATGGCTAGAAGAAACAAACTCTAATATATTTATGAAATTCATTCGTGTTTTCAGCAAACATTATTCGAGTGTCTGATATGTATGGCACTACATTAGGCTATAAGGATTTCAAAGATATAACTTGAAAGATATAGCTCCTGTGTCAATTCCTTTTAAAAATAACAGACATACAAATAACTTCAATAAACATGAGATTGAAGAGACATGTCACGTGAGACGGAGAAATGAACCATCTAGTTTGAGAACATATACTAATTTAAAAATCCAAATATGTTTAAGAAGCCAAAATATTTATCTCTATAAATAGGTAAATGTTTATACCATTGATCAACATCAATATTGACAAGGTTTTTAAAACGAACTAAAATAATTTTAATTAACCAAATTACAAGAAAAGAAAAACAGTATGTTTTTTAAAATATCTTAATCTAGAAATCTAAGAAAAGTAAATAAAATAATGAGTAACTTGTTCTGCATACTTGCCTTCTTAATGGGAAAAGATATATATAAAAATAGAAAATTACTGCATAGAAATGTAAACAAGTGCTCAAACTTCATCTTATTTTATGATTATCTATGTAACAGAAGTTGGAGTCTAACATTATCACAAGTAAATTTCCAATCTCATTACTATTGAAGGAAGCATTTAAACTAGATTAATCTATGTAAGTAAATAAGCATGTGATCAAATCTGTAATTTACAGTAGCCATAGTTAGGCTGTTATTTTATACTCAGTGCAACCATCTTAAAACCCTGTTTCTAATGTGTATAAGAAAGTTTTTAAATTATTTCACTTAACAACACAATGAAGTAGAAATGTTCAACATCATCTATAATAACAAAAGGGTAATATGCTAATTAGACCAGATATCTTCCGGATGTCATTCCAGGCATCCTTCCTGATTAAGCCAGGGCCGGAGGGGTCCCAGGTGACTGCGGGCGAGGGAAGCCAGCCCGGGTTCCAGGTGCCTGTGGGAGGCCTGAAGGAAGCCAGCCAGGTCCAGGTGCCCGTGGGCAGCTTGAAGGAAGCAGCCCGAGTCCTGGGTGCTGGAGGGATCTAGTGCCAGCAGCCAGGGGAAGGGAGGCCTACTCTTGAATGAATTTTTGTGCATCAGGCCTCTATTATATATATACTAGAGGCCCAGGGCACAAAAATTTGTGTACTCGGGGGGGGGGGGGGGGCGGGGGCGGCCCTCAGCCCGGCCTGTGCCCTCTCTCAGTCTGGGACCCCTCGGGAGATAACAACCTGCTGGCTTAGGCCTGCTCCCGGGTTGCAGAGGGCAGGCCCAATCCCTAGGTGCAGCCCCTGGTCGGGCTCAGGCTGACTGGGGAGTTGGGGAACCACCCCTTGTCATGCACAGAGCAGGGCGGATCGGGAGGTTGCGATGCCACCCTCAGTCATACTCAGGGTAGGGCCGATTGGAGGGTTGGGGCACCGCCCCCTGTCACACTCAAGGCAGGGTCGATGGGGAGGTTGCGGCACCACCCCGTCATGCACAGAGTAGGGCCCATCAGGGGGGTTGGGGAGCTCCCCCCTGTCACGCACAGAGCAGGGCCGATAGGAGAGTTGGGATACCGCCCCCTGTCACACACAGAGCAGGGCGGATCAGGTGGTTGGGGCGCCGCACCCTGTCACACTCAGGGCAGGGCCGATGGGGAGGTTATGGCTCTACCCCGTCACACACAGAGCAGGGCCCGTGGGGGGGGGGGGGGGGATTGGGGCGCCACACCCTGTCACACACAGAGCAGGGCCGATCAGGGGGTTGGGGCACCACAGCCTGTCACACACAGAGCGGCAGGGCAATCAGGGGGTTGGGGAGCTCCCCCCTATCAGGCACAGAGCAGGGCTGATCAGGGGGTTGGGGCGACTTCCCCTGTCACGAACAGAGCAGGGCAGATAAGGAGGTTGTGGCCCTGCCCCCTGTCACACACAGAGCCGCAGGGCAATCAGGGGGTTTGTGCGCTGCCCCGTCATGCTGATCCCGGTGCCGGGAGGCCTCGCGGTTCCGCTGATCCCAGTGCTGGGAGGCATATTACCCTTTTACTATATAGGATAGAGGCCTGGTGCATGGGTGGGGGCCGGCTGGTTTGCCCTGAAGGGTGTCCTGGATCAGGGTGGGGGTCCCCACTGGGGTGCCTGGCCAGCCTGGATGAGGGGATGATGGCTGTTTGCAGCTGGTCACACACCCTTCAGGGTGGGGGTCCCCACTGGGGTGCCTGGCCAGTCTGGGTGAGGGGCTGAGGGCTGTTTTCAGGCTGGCGGGTGACTGAAGCTCCCAACCGCTCCTTTTTTTCTTTTTCTTTTTTTTATTCTGGGCCAGCTTTAGCTCTGAGGCTTGGCTCCAGCTCTTAGGCCTCGGCTGCTGAAAGCAGGTATCTGGTTTGTTTGGGTTCTATAATCGAAACACTGTTTCAACTCCAGCTCTGAGATCCCAGCTGGCTGAAAGCAGGTTTCTGGGGTTTTGTTTAGCTTCTATATTTGTAACAATGTTTCAAACTGCAAGCTCAGAGGCTGGCAGCGGCAGGCGGGGAACGTTGGAGTCCTCCGTCACTGAAGCAAGCAAGCCTCATGTTCGCTTCAAGCTGCCTGGCTGCTGGCCGCCATCTTGGCTGGCAGTTAATTTGCATATCACCCTGATTAGCCAATGGGAAGGGTAGTGGAAGTACGGCTAATTACCATGTTTCTCTTTTATTAGATAGGAGATATATATATATATACACACACACACATACACATAGGTTTTAAAACCTGACATCAAGATCTTAAGCCAAATGTGGAACACAAGACTAATTCAAGTCATGGTTAACATCAAACATAGTATTTACTGATATTTATTATATGACATAGGCCTTCCTGTGTAGTCTGGAGAATACAAAGGAAAACCCCTCAAGGAATTTATGATCTTGTAGGAGAGATGGTTATAAAGACTTCCACAATTAAACATATCAGATTATATGTTCCAGAAAGACAGAGAGAGAGAGAGAGAGAGAAAGAGAGAAAAGAAGGAGAAGAAGGAGGAGGAGGAGAAGGAGGAGGAGAAGGAGGAGGAAGAGGGGGAAGAGGGGAAAAAAGAGGAAAAGAAAGAGACACTAAAACTGCAAACTCTACTTTTTCCTTTACAAGGCACTGCAATTACTTTTATTACATTAGGGAGATGGCCTCAATTCTGTGCTAATGATTTTTAACACATCTCCATAACATCTGTTGTGAGAAAGAGAAACCAAAAATATTGAAGTCGTGAATCGGGATTTCATAAATATGATGACGTTAATGGATGACTGGCACACGTAGTAAGTGCTAACAGGAGATCTTGAGTAGGGCACAACCACCACGGTACAGAGTCCTGAGGGATGACAGTGAGTAAGGGGGACCTGAACTAGGCTTTAGTAGGTGAACAGGATTTCACTATGTGAAAAATCATTTTGAGGTAAGATCCAAATAATAATAACCAGAATTTCCCAATTTCCTCTATCATAGAGTTAGATTGTAAGTCAGAGCAATAGTTGAAAATGACTTATTGTCAAAATTACCTTTAAAAATTCTGTTCATTTAGCAAAACAAATACAGTATACCACGCAGCCACTTGTAGTCTCTAACAATGTAGAGAGAGCAGTACAAGGAGGTAAGTGAAGCAGGGAGCCTGAGTCCCAAGCTCTGGGTATACATTAGGCTCAGGGAGCAAGTCAAGAGCAAGGGACAGGATGGCTGGAGGTAGGGACCTTGCTTCTGGCTAGCTAAGGAAGCTACAGTAAAGCTCAATGGGAAAAGAAAGATCCTCAGCTCAAGCCTCTTGAGCCTAACAGATGAGCTCAGAACATCAAAAGAAGATCTGAGCTTCCCCTGAGGCAAGATTGGTTCCAACCCAGCTAGTGGACCTGCCTGTGGCTTACAGGATAGAGGGAAACACCCTAAACTGAGAAACGACTGGGAGGGTCCAAACCATGGCTCAAGGGATCACAGAGGACCCATCGGTAACACAAGAGGGAAGGGTGGAGAAGCATAGTCTAAGACAGTGGTTCTCAACCTTCCTAATGCCGCCACCCTTTAATCCAGTTCCTCATGTTGTGGTGACCCCCAACCATAAAATTATTTTCGTTGCTACTTCATAACTGTAATTTTGCTACTGTTATGAATCATAATGTAAATATCTGATATGCAGGATGTATTTTCATTGTTCCAAATTGAACATAATTAAAGCATAGTGATTAATCACAAAAACAATATGTAATTACATACGTGTTTTCCGATGGTCTTAGGCAACCCCTGTGAAAGGATCGTTCGACCCCCAAAGGGGTCGCTACCCACAGGTTGAGAACCGCTGGTCTAAGAGGAGCAGGAAGAGCTGAGAGAGACTAGACCAGGGGTGGGCAAACTTTTTGACTCGAGGGCCACAATGGGTTCTTAAACTGGACCGGAGGGCCGGAACAAAAGCATGGATGGAGTGTTTGTGTGAACTAATATAAATTCAAAGTAAACATCATTACATAAAAGGGTACGGTCTTTTTTTTTTTTTTTTAGTTTTATTCATTTCAAACGGCCGGATCCGGCCCGTGGGCCATAGTTTGCCCACGGCTGGACTAGACACTTCTCCTTCTGTAGAAAAGATATCAGTCTAAATCTGAGTGCCTGGATGAGGGGCTGATGGCTGTTTTCAGGCTGCCGCACTCCCTTCAGGGTGGGGGGCCCCACTGGGGTGCCTGGCTAGCCTGGATGAGGGGCTGAGGGCTGTTTTCAGGTGAGCCAAGCCTGCAACTGAAGCTCCCAGTCGCTCCTTTTTTTCTTTTTCTTTTTTATTCTGGGATTTATTTACCTTCTGTACTTGAAACTTTGTTGCGGCTCCAGCTCCCAGGCCGGCTGGCTGAAAGCAGGTATCTGGGGTTTGTTTGGCTTCTATAATTGAAACACTGTTGCGGTCCTGCTCGCTCCACCTCTGACGGCTGAAAGCAGGTATCTGAGGTTTGTTTAGCTTCTATAATTGCAACATCGTTGCTTAGAGTGCAGTTCAGAGCCCAGCAGTGGCAGGCGGGGAATCTTGGCTTCCTCCATCACTGGAGCAAGCAAGCCTCCTATTTGCTTCAGCTGCCTGGCTGCCAGCTGCCATCTTGGTTGGCAGTTAATTTGCATATCACCCTGATTAGCCAATGGGAAGCATAGCGGAGGTATGGTTAATTACCATGTTTGTCTATTATTAGATAGGATATTGATTTCAGAGAGGAAGGGAGAGGGAGAAAGAAACATCAATGATGAGGGAGAATCACTGATTGGCTGCCTCCTGCATGCCCCCCACTGGGGATCAAGTCACAACCTGGGCATGTGCCCTGACCAGAAATTGAACTGTGACCTCCTAGTTCATAGGCCAATGCTCAATCGCAGAGCCACACCATCTGGGCAGAGAAACAATTTTGAAAGCAGTTGGAGTTACTGACCCATTACTCATCGCCTCCTATGCTTCCTTTTTCATAACCTGTTCCAGCCAGACTGGACCACCACTTGCTGTTCCCTCTGCCTGGCACATGCTTCCACCAAATACCTGCATGGCTAATTTCCTCATATCCTTTAAGTCCTTGCTTCAATGGCTACCTTTTCTTTATTTAATATATTTTATTGATTTTTTACAGAGAGGAAGGGAGAGGGATAGAGAATTAGAAACATCGATGAGAGAGAAACATCAATCAGCTGCCTCCTGCACATCCCCCTAGTGGGGATGTGCCCACAACCAAGGTACATGCCCTTGACTGAATCATACCTGGGACCCTTCAGTCCACAGGCCTATACTCTATCCACTGAGCCAAACCGGTCAGGGCAAATGGCTACCTTTTCAATGGGCCTTTCCAATTAACCCTTTGAGTGCCAACCAATATCCTAGGAACTATGCTAAAATTGCCAAGGCATTTTTGCTGATTTTACAGCAGTTTAGGAAAAAAATTATGAATCGCAAGTACATGAAGTTACATATTCAAAAACTTAAGGAAACCTTTACTACATTTGTTTTCATCTTTGACATATATTGTTTGCTGATTGTATTATAAAATACTTGTAGAAAAAAATTTGAACAAAACATATGTTAAAATAAAATTAATGTTGACTTTGAATACATGAATGAAGATATTAACTTTTAATAAGATTTTGATTAAAAAAAATCTAAAATATTTAGATAATAAAAACAGACTTAGAACTGGACGCCATTTCGAAGCTTTAGGGCTACAAAATCTGAGTAAACTTCATAAAATCGTAGTACCTGTAAAAAATTAGGCAGATAAATGCCAGTGGTCAATTTTAGAACTACAAACATTTGGCATCATAAGTAATCTGCACTTAGGTGCCATCTGTCAATAAAGTGTGAACTAGTAGCATCTAATAGTGACACTGCAGGAGGCGCGCAATAGCGCTCCCGGCACTTTTGGTGAAAGACAGGAGGAGCACAGTTGCGCTCCCCGGCACTCTAGGGGTTAAAAACTGCAACCTCCAGTGCTACTGCTCAATCTTACCCTATTTCTTTTCTTCATAGCACAGTCAAGCACTTAGTACTCTAGCAGACCATGTAATTTACTTATGTGTTAAGTTTATGATTTATTTTCTCTTCCCACTAAAATGCAAACTCCATGAGAGCAAGGATTTGTTTTGTTCACCCTTTTACCCAAAGTACCTAGAGCAGTCACTGAGACACAGTAAGAATCCGGTGAATATTTGTTGAATGTATAATGTCTAAAGGACAGCACAGGATATAGAGCTCATATATATAATGAACTATGCAACAAAAGGTTCACTTGTAGACAGATATGCAGGAACTACAACCATTTGGGCATCACAGTTCATTTCATGTGCATTAAGGATTTCCTGCCCTGTTATTTTTTTTCATGTGCCCACTAACATGCACTTTCTTGATTCATGCATACACACCCTGTATGTTCTCTCAACTGTCCTTTTGAACACTATTACTCCCACCTGACCAAGTATGCACATTTGAAATTGTGTTAGATGTATGCACGATGTCACTTTACTGTCTGAATTATATACATGCATTTTTGTTTAAAGGATAGGTAATTGACTACATGTTTATTTTTTTATTACACGTTTCAAAGACTTACTTTTATCTGCGCCACACTACTTTTCATTTTCTGCTGCCCGTTGATCCTATCAGTCAGACTCCGTAAGCTGGTCCAAATAACAAGTCCCAAATGGTATGAATTTTCTGACAGTATACTTTTTCTGTCTGCAAGGATCACCTATAAAATATACCAAAGAAAGCTCTGTTAACTTTGACCAACTTATTTTTTGTAGTCAGTAGGCATAGATATAACCAATAATAAAAAAATCCTTAAATAGCTCCACATAATAATGTATAAAGAACACATATTATTAGCAAAGATTCTGAACAAGAGAGCAAATAATAAGAAGGGTATATTAAGGGCAATAAGGTATTTTATTCTTATAATTGAGAAGAAAAAAGTTAATTTAAAAACTAATGTCAGATAACTTTATTCAACTTGTTCTCAATGAAAGAAATATATCTACATCATAAAATAGTATTGTGACATTATAAAAAACACACACAAAAAACAAGTGAACAGAGGAAGCAATTGTAAAATATCCAATGTTCCTGTAATAATGATCAATCAGAGATAAATATACTCTGCATGAAAATATAAGGTACTATAATAATAGCATAATCAAGCTAGCTAGCATAATCAAGTCTCAAAGGCTTCAGGTATATGCACTTATGAGAACTAAGTATTTGTTCAGAATAAACCTAGTCATCAACATTAAATGCTAAAATTAAATTTCACTATCCATCTGTTAAACACATTTTAGGAATTTTTGAAAAATGCTAAATTGATAGTTATGTTTCCAAGTATTTTATTGGAGTTACATGTATAAGTGATTTAGGGCTTATGAGAATTGCATATTTAAATGATTTATAATATGGTGCATGGCACAGAAACAACATAAAATAGAAAAACAATTTTAAGATAAAGAACCTAGAGAAAGAACTGTTCTCAGTACCAAAAAAACTGAATACAACTAGGAAAAATATTAATTTTAATGCAAAAAATGTTACATATTATCTAGTACAATTTCTTCTTTTTAAAGATAAGATGAAAGTCAGATAACTCATTTAATGCCCTAAGCTATGATAGTTAGTGGTGGACCATAAGTAAAAACCTAGCCTGAGGACAGGTAAATAAGTATTCTTTCCATTAGACCATGTACACAAATAACCTTGACACTATAAAGTGACATAGAGCTGCTACCATTTAATATAGATGGGAATGTACACAACCACTAAGTCAAGGAAAGTTTCTATTACAATAGTTAGCATGGTATCAATATTAGTAAGTACAATATACGTAACATACTTTATAAACTTAACAATATATAAAATATAATTTCAATCTAAAGCACATAACTATTGTGCAAAATTTAACATTTTCCTTTGATATTCCTCTTGGGTCTTAAATCTGGTCTCTCTTCTCAACCTACCAACACATTAAAAATAAAATAAAAAAGCAACTTTCTATGTATTTTATTTCAAATGTACCTTAGTTATTTAAATTTAATTAGTTTTCTTTCTGATCAGTGTCATTTCCTCTTTCTACCACCCTTCAATCATCATCACCAAATAAAATTCTGGCAATCAAGTATACCATGTCCCAAAATATAAGTATGAAATTGACAATATTGAAAGGTAGACTGGTACTGCAGTTCTAACAACAACAAAAAAATGTTTAAAGTATTATCACCATCAAGATTTATATAAATTTCCCTCTAGGGAAATTCTTAAAGCTCAACATGTACATGCTTGATATTTGGTCTAATTGGAAATTCTTGCAACGAGAGCAATTTATCCAGAGTTTATAGCTCTCACTGCTCTTTTTAGGACCACTATGAGGATTTTATGATGAATTATTAAATTTTCCTCTCCTTGTCACAAGAAAGCAACTCAGCAAAACCACACCTCCTTTCCTTAGCAAGGAGATTTTATAAGGAGATGTAGTTTAAAAATGATGACAATTTTACGTCAGAAAGCAAATATTTAATAACATTTGTAAGAAGGACTTTAACTGGAAATGAATAAACTAAAAATTCTGCAATTATCTCAAAAATTCAGAAAATGCAAATATATTCAACCAATGGCCAAAATGCACTGTTTTCTCTATTATTTCAGAACAACATTTCTACCATCATCCCTTATAAGTTCTCAACCCAGGTTAGAGAAACTCACCAAAATATACTATCATAAAATTGTTAAAAGGGGAGTGGATTCCCTTTAGTTTGCTCTTCTGCATTCTACGCAGTAACAGCAGACTGGACAAATTTCAGACATTTTAACAGTTAAAAAAATAAAAATATATAAATCCATAAATCATAGTTGTCCAGTGGGAATAATGGTAATATTAATCAATATTCAAAATATATATAGTTTAAATTTGTTCTAAATGCAAAAAATATATAATTGGGGGGGGCGGAATCTTGAGGAAAATCCTCAAATAGGATCCAAGCCCCTGTCCCTTCCGAACAGTGATTTTACTTCTGAGGGAACAGACAGTAGCAGCAGATTGGCCACAGTTCTTAAACATTAATGACAAGATTGTTAGGGCCTTTCCCTGTAGGTACTGAAGGAAAACCCCTTTGTTTAAGAAAACCATTCTATTTTTTTCTTGCTATTTTTTAAATATATGTACACTAGAGGCCCAGTGCACGAAATTTGTGCATGGGTAAGGTCCCTAGCAGCTGCCAGCTGGGGCCTCCCTTCCCTGGATGCTAGCTGCTAGCTGGGGCCTTCTTTTATTCCGCGTCGCCACCTGGTAGTCAGTGCACGTCATAGCAAGCGATCGAACTCTGTCTCTCAGTAAAACTCCAAAGGGCACAATTTGTATATTAGGCTTTTATATATGTACATATTAGAGAAAAAATCTGCCCATGGTATACCACATAAAGGAAAGTGATGTAATTTGATTTTAGCATAGTTCCCAAATTCAGGGGGAAAAAATGCCAACACACTCCTATCCCTTTCAGAAAAAGTCACCAGGTATTACAGGGTGACAATCCCTTTTCTGCAATTCTGAAATCTGAAAATAGAAAGATTTTTCTTTTTAAGCTTGTTGTAAACTCAACTGGCAGCAACTCCTGATATGCACCAACTTTAGACTTCATGAGACTCTCATTTGATGTGCTGCAGAAATATTAATGTGCTTGATTGGAGGACTTGGCCAGAACCCCAAAAGGGGGATTACTTAACATATTTGCACTAAAATCTGCTCTAAAATTTCTTCTCGAAAATCTGAAAAATTCTGAATGTCAAAACATTCTGACTTCAAGAATTACAAATAAAAAATTGCAGACCTGTACTGCCTATTGTTTTTTCTTAGTCATTGCACACTCATAACCATTCCAATGACTGAATATTCCTATGTTCAAGTACAGGGCTGGAAGCTGTGCAGACAGTATCTGGATACTGCTGGGATGTTGTAAGTGATGAGGAACAAACAATATAAAAGCGTTTGACTTGTCTCTGGTCTGTGACTCTATGTATAGAGGAGTCCACACCAATTTGGGGACATCTCATGACAGATTCTGATGAGTTAAAACAACAACAACAAAAAACAAGAGTTTAAAATTTCTTATCTTTTTAATGAACTCAGTGATACCAATATTCATACTAAAAAGAACTCATTATAAACTGGGAATAACTATTCATTCATTTCCTATATCACCAAGCAAGTCCGTATTGGCTGGTATTTAAGTAACTAAAGAAATCAAAGTTAGTGATGTGATCATTTTGATATGCTACTTAAAATGTTTTAATAGTTTATTAACTTTTAGAGAGAGGAAAGAAGAGGGGGAGAGGGGGAGAAACATCTATGTGAGAATATAACATTGATTGACTGCTTCTGCAGGCCTCCTGCCAGGAAGTGAACGGGCAACCTTTCAGTGTCACGGATGATGAAGCCCAACCAACTAAGCTACACTGACCTGGACACTACTTAAAGTTTTAAAAAAATATTTTGCTGTTACATAGGAACATCCTCTAATGTGCTCCTTTTTACCAGAATATAGGCTCTATGAGAGCAGGAATTTGTTAATTTTTGTTTCAAAATTTCTATCAGCTATTTCTTGATTTACAGTATTGATTTCCCATTGAGGTTTTTAAATATTCTACATGTTGAACTTATCATTGCATTTATGAGGCAAGTTCCCTTTACTCTGTCCATTCTCTAGTCCCATACACTTTATCTTTCCTTAAACAGCCAATTTTTTTTTTGTTAAGTCTACACTTGATGCCTCCAATTCTTAACCACCCATTAACTCCACTTACCCACCAAAATCTGTTTTTCTATTCCCACTACAAAGTACTTATCAAAGTTACATAATGACCTCTTTGTTGCTAAACCCAGGGACCATTTCTTTTACCTGACACTAGAGGCCTGGGGCACGAAATTCATGCACTCGAAAAGGGAGGGGGTCCCTCAGGCCCGCCTGCGCCCTCTTGCAGTCAGGGAGCCTTTGGGGGATGTCTGACGGATGGCTTAGACCCACTCCCCACCAGTCGCTGCGCTCACCAGCCATGAGCCCAGCTTCTGGCTGAGCGGTGCTCCCCTTGTGAGAGCGCACTGACCACCAGGGGGCAGCACCTGCATTGAGCATCTGTCCCCTGGTGGTCATTGCGCTATTTGGTCGATTTGCATATTCCCCTTTTATTACAAAGGATTACTCTATAATTTGGTACTGCTAAGCTCCTCCTACTGAAGTTCTTGCTTAAATGGACACTGGGTTCACCTGGTTTTCCTCCTATCTCTATTATTCTTTCCACCCCTCTAACATTACTTTTCTGTAGAGCAGTGGTTCTCAACCTTCTGGCCTTTTAAATACAGTTCCTCATGTTGTGACCCAACCATAACAAATTATTTTTGTTGCTACTTCATAACTGTAATGTTGCTACTGTTATGAATCATAATGTAAATATCTGATATGCAGGATGGTCTTAGGCGACCCCTGTGAAAGGGTCATTCGACCACCATAGGAGTTGCGACCCACAGGTTGAGAACCGCTGCAGTAGAGGTTAATCTTTGCTCATGGATTTTTGTCTGTTTTGTTCATTGCCATACTCCCAATATAGAAAGCTCTCAATACATGTTTGTTAAATGAATAGTCATTATCTTTTCTCCACAGTCCCACTGGAAGGACATCTTCACCTCCACACCTTCAACTAACATTTATAAAAACCACTCTTACCCTGGCCCATGTGGCTCAGTTGGTTGAGCATCATCCCATGCAGCAAAAGGTTGCTGGTTCGATTCCCAGTCAGGGCACATACCCGGCTTTCCGGTTCAATCCCCAGTCGGGGTGTGCACCGCTTTCAAAGTGGGCTTTCTAAGTATTTAATTCGAGCCATTTAGCAAACCACATTCCAAGGAAATCTGGAGGTGGTAGCCTCCAGAGATTCATGAAGTAGCCCCTAGACACACAGCACTATGTTCCACCACAGAGGCTCCAGTCACCAGCTGTCCTGATAAAAAGGTGTCCTAATAAACTAATTCAGGGAAGAGCAGTCAAGGTAGCTTTTCAGGTGGAAGTGCTGAACTCTGCCTAGCCTAATACATTTATGAGTTAGGCTCCAAGTCAAGTTAAACATAAATCTCCAAAGGGCCTCTCCTTCCCATCAGCTAACCTATTCTATATGACAGGAGCACATGTCCCTAGGCCAAAACAGCCCATATGATCTTTTTGGTATTTCTTCACTGGGAAAGACTTATTAGCTTGGCTACAAATGGCAAAGGCTTGCTTTAATCCATTGCTTCCTCCCGATGTATTATTTTTGAAGAGAATGCTTTGAAACTTTGCCCTTTGTTGTAGGCATTGAAATGCCTCTTCCAATGTCCACTTGGGAACTACACATACTGAGGTAAAATATTTCGGCTATAGGTTTAGTAAGTCTGGAAGTTTGCTGAAACTCCTATGCCAGAGGCCTTCTGGTTCCACCACCCTTCCATGCTGAGATTCTCAGACTCGAACTGAAAAGTAGAGAAATACAAGAAAGCCCACCAAGTCATCAGTGGGATCAGCTCTATTACCAATAATCACTTTTTTCTTAAACTAGCTCTAGGCTAGCCATGACTTATACCAAGTTAGGGTTACACCAAGTAGTACAAAATTTAGACTAAATACAGGTGGGCAATAAACAGAGAATAATGCTCAAATTAAGGCATGGGCTTTATACATACACAATGTGTCACTGTGTGCTCTCTTAGGTGGTCTCCGGTACAACAGCCACTGGAGGCCACTTGGCAGTGCACCATCACCAGTTAGGAGAGCTGACCTCTCACAGTTCAAAAGCTGGGAAAACTGACAGAGCTCTGGCTGGTTTAGGAAAGACAGTTAAGCAGTCCAGGAAGTGTCAGAATTTCAGAAATGATAGGACTAAACTAGTCAAAGTGGGGAGGCACAGGCGGCGTACCAGGGCCGTACTGGTTGGCTACAGATGAAATGCTTTGCAACAGGGAAGGCAGCAGACCTAATTCCGGGGGCGGGGTGGACCATAACAGATCCCTAGGAGATGGGCTAGAACGGCAGCTCTCAAACTGGCATGAGGATCGCATGGATGGTTTGGTAACAAAGACACCGAAAGATCCACCCATTCCGCGGTTTCCAAATCAACAGGTCTGGGCTAAGCTCAATAATTTACATCACTAACAAGTTCCAAGAAGATGCTAGTACCGCTGATTCAGGAGACCACATTTTCAGAACCACTGGGTCCATGTCCTTGGCTTCTCAAGTTTCAGAGCTCCAGTCAAAGGAAGTGGGAAAGGCTCCGTAACAGTGGCATGGGCACATGGAAGAGGAAGGGCGACATTCAACACCGAAGAACAAGAACCGAGACAGCGAATTCATCAACTGTGTTACAGTGGCAACAATAACAGAGCAGCTAAAACGGCGCTGTGCACAATGCCTTCCTTACATGAGCTACTTTCCTTTATCCTCAGAACAACCCACTGAGGTAGGTATTACTCTTAACCACAACTTTCAGATAAGGATGCCGAGACTAAAGATGTTAGGGAACCTGCCCCAGGAGAGAGAGACTTAACTAAACATGCTCAAGGCGGACGGAAATCTCTGTCCCCAGCACCAACACAGTCAGTCTCCTCCTCCTCCAGACGGTGCCTGAAACAATGCTGCTTCTGATCAAAATCACACTTTTAACGGCAATCCTAAATGTGCCTTCCCAGGTAGGGTGGAAACTGAGGTTAACTCTCCAGTTCACAGACAATCCTAAAATAAGGCCAGGTAAGGAGGACGCAGGGTGACGGTCTGCAGAAGCCCGAGTCTGCGTGGTTGTCCATTTGCTATTTCTGGTCGGGATCCCTACCCATGTAAAAGGAATCCGTACCACACCTGCAATCACCAAGGTCTGGCATCTGAAATAGTCTTTCCCCAACCTTTTCCTTCTTCGTGGATCTCAAAAACTTGTCGTGAGGATTATGTGACAATAGGTTAGTAACCAGTGATGGCGAACCTTTTGAGCTCGGGGCGTCAGCATTTCGAAAAACCCTAACTTAACTCTGGTGCCCTGTCACATATAGAAATTTTTTGATCTTTGCAACCATAGTAAAACAAAGACTTATGTTTTTGACATTTATTTTATATATTTAAATGCCATTTAACAAAGAAAAATCAGCCAAAAAAGTGAGTTCGCGTGTCACCTCTGACACGCTTGCCATAGGTTCGCCGTCACTGGGGCGGTGCTGCGCCCAGACTCGGTGACACTGGCGACTGTTTTCCTGTTACAAGTGCAGTGTAGGGCCCGGGCTCCGGGGAGGCGGTGACTGGGGAGCCCATTTCGGAGCTCCCAGACACTGGAGGTGGATCAGCTAACGGGAGGAAAGGGGGTGACGGAGGAGGGCAGCCCATACGGAGCAACAGAGAGCCCCTCTGAGCACAATCATCGCGTAGGAAAAGAAAGGACTGCGGACATCTGAGAGCAGCAGTCACCGGGAAATGACGGCGGAGAGCGGCACAGGAGCGGCACTGCCACTGCTTCTTCACGAACTACAATGAATGCCACGCCACGGCGCAGCCCCCGGAGCGGGGCGCGAGCCCAAACGACTCGAGAGGCTCCCAGTGGTTCGCGCCCCAAACACACCCCACACGGAGGCGAGAGCCAGCGCCGCTGCAGGGTTTCGGCAACAAAGGCCCTGCGGAGGCATAGTGCCCACAACCTCGCTAGGAAGCTGGGTCCATCCGCGCAGGCGGACGGGCATTCACGGTCGCCCCTTACCCACCCGCTCAGACTCCGCCCGGCCGCTTCTCACCCTCCAACCTCGCGGGCCAGGCCGGCGCTCGGCGGGAAGGCGGCCGCGCGCGCCCCGGCGCCGCCGACAGCCCGCCCAGCAAACCCACACCCACCCCGGGGCCCGCTGATCTTCCCACCCGGTCCGGCAACCCACCACCCCCACTCTGGTTCGCCGCCGGTGGCGAGTCCACCGAGTTAGACAATTACCTGGAACTCCACCGCGCCGCCATTACACCGGAAGTACGTCACTTCCCCTTCCCGGCCACGGCAGGAGGAGGAAAGAAGAACGTGAAACACATAAAAACCTTACGCTGCATTGCCTTTGATACGTTCTCCTAGTGATTTATTTCAAGAACCGTATCAGAGCAGTCTATCCGGTCACTCTGTTCCCTTCCCCAGACAGCGACAAAAGAGAAGCTGACACAAACTACAAAACCCAACATCCACCGCCTGTGTGGGTGGAAATGACGTAAGCAGTTGTATGTGAATGCCGCAATGTACGACGGGAATTGTAGTTCTCCTGGATAAGCGCCAGAGGGTACAGTCAGGTGGCTCATGGGAATCCTGGTAGGGATTAAGACATGTCAAAATATGCTTTAAAAACATTTCTTCGCATTTGCAAAAAAGTAAACTCTAGTAGTCATTTCCTGTGAAATTATTAAAAAGAGCAGACACCCTTTTTCAGACTTTTTCGGTAATTAGATGGAGAATCTAAGCAAAAAAATGTTACCAAGTGGTTACATGCGTACTAAATTCCAAGATTTGAAGCCTAAATGAATGGGAAAATATTGGACCATAAACAAAGTGTAGCAATGAGGAGATGCTACTTCTGTAGAGAGAAGATGATGCCTCTATATTAGGTCCTTCAGGAAGCTAACAGTGGATAGAGTTAAGAATGTGGAAAGGTGAGAGGAAAAGGCAGGAAACTGGATGGGGCAGGGGTGGGAGTCCCACACTGGGATAAATTGGTAGGGTAAGAGCCCCTTGTAACACAGTCCTGCTTAGTCATTGACCTGAGCCAGCACACGGAGAATGTGGCCTCAACACCTGAGGTGGACTTCAAAGTGTTAGCAGGTGAAGGCTGTCATTGAAGAGGTATCTGTGTCTGTCATGGTTTGTGCTGGGCTGCATATCTGGTGCTTTGGCCAGACAGGTCATGCTGTGCTGTCTGTTCCTAAAACACACAGATAGGAAGGTACTGACATCAGGCCAGGCCTTGAGCTATGGTCTCATGGCCCCTTCCCAGCACTCAGGCCTTCTTTCTCAGAAGGCCCGGGATCTCATTCCAAATTTGGGAGACAAAGGTCTGGAGAGAGTATAAATAAAGAGAGTTTCCTCCATATTGGGGGGCCCAGAATTTGAAAGACACATTTTTCTCTGGGCCTCCACAGAGTCTACACTAATAAAAGAGAAACATGGTAATTGGCGTACGACCTCTACCCTTCCCATTGGCTAATCAGCAAGATATGCAAATTAACTGTCAGCCAAGATGGCGGCCGGCAGCCAGGCAGCTTGAAACTAACATGAGGCTTGGTTGCCTCAGTGACGGAGGATCGTTGGAGGAAACCAACGTTCCCCGCCTGCAGCTGCAGGCCTCTGAGCTGGCGGTTTAAGAAACATTGTAACAAATACCGCCAGACTTCAGCCAGCAGATTCGAAACATTGTATGCAAAGGCCAGAAACCTACTTTCAGGAGCGGAGGCTTAAGAGCTGGAGCCAAGCCTCAAGGTAAAGCTGGCCCAGAATAAAAAAAAGAAAAAAGAAAAAAAGGAGCGGTTGGGAGCTTCAGTCACTCCCAGCCTGAAAACAGCCCTCAGCCTCTCACCCAGACTGGCCAGGCACCCCAGTGGGGACCCCCACCCTGATCCAGGACACCCTTCAGGGCAAACGAGCTGGCACCCACCCATGCACCAGGCCTCTACCCTATATAGTAAAAGGGTAATATGCCTCCCAGCACCGGGATCAGCGGAGCAGAGAGGCCTCCCGGCACCGGGATCAGCATGACAGGGGGCAGCGCCCAAACCCCCTGATCGGCCCTGCTCTGTGTGTGACAGAGTGTGGGGCCACAACCCCCCCCCCGCCCCCCGGGCCCTGCTCTGTGTGTGATGGGGTAGAGCCATAACCTCCCCATCGGACCTGCCCTGAGTGAGACAGTGGCGGTGCCCCAATCCCCTGATTGGCTCTGCTCTGTGGGTGATAGAGGGCGGTGCCCCAACCCACTGATCCACCCTGCTCTGTGTGTGACAGGGGACGGTGCCCCAACTCCCCTATCGGACCTACTCTGTGAGTGACAGGGGGGAGCTCCTCAACCCCCTGATGGGCCCTGCTCTGTGCATGACAGGGTACGGAGCCCCAACCCCCCTGATGGGCCCTGCTCTGTGAGTGACAGGGGGCAGTGCCCCAACCCCTGATGGGCCCTGCTCTGTGCGTGACAGGGGGTCGCGCCACAACCTCCCCATCGACCCTGCCTTGAGTGTGACGGGAATGGTGCCCCAACCCCCCAATCGGCCCTGCTCTGAGCCCGACCAGGGGCTGCACCTAGGGATTGGGCCTGCCCTCTGCCACTCGGGAGCAGGCCTAAGCCAGCAGGTCATTATCTCCCGAGGGGTCCCAGACTGCTAGAGGGCACAGGCCGGGCTGAGGGACCCCCCCACTTCCCCCCGAGTGCACACATTTTTGTGCACCGGGCCTCTAGTTTAATAATAAAATGTAACTCCTGTAGTAGTCAGGGCTGCAGTTCAGCCTCTGATTCGGCAGGGTGCTGTAACTGTAGTCAGCTGGCCAGCTTAGTAAAGGCTCTTAAATTTAAATTCTGAGTCGGTGGTCTATCTTGCTGAGTGAACCCATAACTGGTTCACTTCTTGCTCCATGGAGATTCACTCTCTATACACATTCCGGGGACAGTGCTTTCTCTAGGTGTCTAGAAGTCACCCTGGCAGAGAATTTGCTCCACCCCCTTGGGTCCTTTCCAGAGTGTTTAATCCTATATTCAAAGAGCATTCCCCAAAGTCAATAAACTCACCCTGTGTAGTATTATGTTCCAGTGCTCTCTGCCAGTGAAGTGTTGGGGTCCAACCCCAGCAGGTCCAGGGGTTCCCAAAGGTGTGGACGGAGTTGGCAAAGAAGAAATGACACAGAGAGTGTTCAGTTGATCAGCATCCTAGCCAGGTTCTCTAGTCAGGGTCTCCAGCCAGGTTCTGTTCTTTATTCTCCTGTTACATCTGTATTTATACCAGTTGATTTTAATCCTATCCATTCTATTCCAAAGGTTATCTCCATTCCAAGGTCACTACTCTGTTGTTCTGTTAAGCTACAAGGAAGTAACTGAAGGAGATTATCCTAAGTAAAGATTATGTAGTTTAAACGTGATTATTCATAGTTAAAGTGATTAATTACCCACCTGGCACTTAGTTAAGGGGTTTTATTCCCTTCCTTAGTCCTGTTAATCCCTAACTCCAGGGAAAAATCCTCACCTGGGGAAACAACCTTTCTCAGGGAGGTGGTCCTGTTTAAAACACATAGCACTACGAGGGGGAGCAAACATACGCCATATATGCCAGGTCCCTTGAAACATATGCTGTGCAGACGTTTCTTCCCTGCAGCGACTGTGTCAAGCAGCAAGGATAGACCGGCTTCCGGCAGTGGAGAGCTTTAGCAATTGCACTACCATACTGGGCCAAGGACTCATTGTGCCCCATATATCACCAGGGATGGTGGTTTTGTTTGATTTTTGTTTGTTTTTTTGTTGTGTGTGTGTGTGCGTTTTGCCAGTCAGGCAGTGAGGGATTCAGTCTCAAAATCCCAACTTACAACTTTTTCGGGTCAATCCTGGTACTATTGGGTCCTCTGACAAGTGAACAGGGATAGAGACAAAAGTAACACCTGTGAAAGGAAAAGGCAGGAAGCAAGATTGAGTAGGAATAGTCAACAGACAACAATGCAGATCTGACAAAGTCTCTGGAAGCCCAACCGAAAGGTCCAACATGAGGATTACCTAGTAGAAGTGTCTTGTACTTGGCAAAAATCTCGGTCTTTGTAGCACCTCTTGCTTGGTCATTAGCAGAGGCCACCCCAAGAAGAGCATTGCCAAAACTCAAAAGCTGAGGCCACCTTGAAGGAGTTAATAGCCAGCGGCCACCAGTCCTTCCTTGAAGAAAAGTCTGAACATCTGAAGGATGCATTTCTCTATCTGCCACAATAGTATTAGCACCAGAGAGATACTAGAAAAATGTAGATTTGTGTAGTATGCTGCATATTTCTTAACTACCTCACCGCTATTGTAAGAATTGCGTGGGGAAAACTTCAGACCAGAGCCTTCCCTAAGTTAAGTTCATTTAAAATTTTCAGAAATTGTAGATTTTACAAGAAGGCCTTGGAAATTTGTCACTGCCCTCACTATCCATAATAGGCTCTTAGTTCATGGGAAACATTGATTAAACCCTTATGAAATAGCTCTTAGGGTATTTTTCTTTCTGATGTTATTGGTACTGTAATAAATTGACCACAGCAATTCAGTCTCATTATTAAGCAGGTTTCTGCTTCTCTCTGAAGCTTGTCTGAGACTCTAGTTTAGGCAAAAGGCTAGTGATTGAGTCTTCAGAAAAAACAAAAGTCTCAGAGCCCTGTGGAAAAGACTGCACTAGGTGCTCTGAACTATGGGTATTTCAAAGAACAGTCTTTTTTGTTGTTTTCATTGTTGTTGCGGAGTAATGCTTCATTGTACATATATACCACATCTTTATCCATTCACCTATGGATGGACACATAGGTTGCTCTCATATCTTGACTATTGTAAATAATGCTGCAATGAGCATATGGTGCATATATAATTAGTGTTTTCTTTCTTTCTTTTTTTCTTTTTCTTTCTTTTTTTTTTGTGTGTATATAGCCAGAAGGAAAATTGCTGGGTCATATGGTAGTTCTATTTTTAATTTTTTGAGGAACCTTCATATTCCCTTCCATAATGTCTGCACTAATTTACAATCTCATAGGGCTCCCTTTTCATATTCTTGTCAACACTTGTTATTTCTTGTTTTTTGATAATAGCCATTCTGACAGGTGTGAGATGATATCTCATTTTGGTTTTGATTTGCATTTCCCTGTTGACTAGTGATGTTGCGCATTTTCTTCATATGTCTATTGGCTATCTGTATGTCCTCTTTAGAGAAATGTCTATTCAGGTCCTCTGCCTATTTTTAAAATTGCATCATTTGTTTATTGATTTTGAGTGGTATGAGTTCCTTATATATTTTGGATATTAATGCCTTATTGGATATACCATTTGCAAATACCTTCTCCTATTCAGTAGGTTGTCACTATTTTGTTGATAGTTTC